AGTTTAATTAGTTCATTGGAAAGACAAAAGTTACCATTTGCGAGGAGCTCATCGATCAGATCGTGGTAATACTGCACACCTGCTTTGCTTATTCCTTTCTCCATCCTACCATCTGTTAATTTTTTTTTTTAAATTAAGTTATCATTTACTTGTATTATAATCAACTAATGTTATGATCAACGAGTGAAATATAATTTGTTGAGATTCTTTTTTAACTTACGGGGGAATATTCTGGGCCATGCAATGGAAAATCTAAAGCCATCAGTGTTCAGATTTTTCATTAACTTGATATCTTCCTGTTGAATATAAATTTAATATTAACTTACTTTCAAAAGAGCGTCAGAATCATATATAAACTTAAGCGTAAATAACATAGCTAATACCTTGTAACGATGGTAGAAGTCGACAGCAACGTCGGCATTGTGATAATTACATTTATCTGAAAAAGTTAGATTTAAAAAAAAAAAAAAAAAAAACAGATGATTTTATATATAATTGACAATTTATTCACTAGGCAAACTGATTTAATAATGAGAAAAAAAAAAAAAGAGTGGAAGAGAATGTGAAAGAGACGTGGGAATTTCTTGGTGTATACGTCCCACATGCTTGGACCTCTACATCCTTCATCTACAGCTCCTTCAACCTATTTAGTTTACCACATACATCACTAACTATTTATAACATAGTTTATTGATATAAAAGTCCGTATCTATGACTATAATGTACCTGAAAAGCAGCAGTGGCGGTACCAAAAATGAAACCTTTAGGGAAATTGGCACGAGTAAAGTGTATATCGGTACTAGAACAGGCATACTCATTGGCGACAGTAAGTGAGCCGGTCAGACCGAGGAACAGAACTAAACCTAGGAGAGGAAATTTATGAAACCTCCCCATTAGTGTATCGAATACTTGAAGAAGTGTAAATGGACAAATATGTTGGAAGGGATTTTTGCCGTTATATATAGTGACTATATAAGACACTGGACTACTATATGTATTTATTTTATTAGTTCTTAAAATTGAAGTAAAATACGGGAAGAGGTAAGCCACGTGATTCACTTACGTGACCGGCAATAAATATGGGAATGTCCTAGGAGATGAAAAGTGTGTGTTATCAATATATAAATTGATTGTTCCATTAATTTGTTAGTAGACTAATATTTTCAGTGAATTTATTTAATTTGATGATTAGGAAAAAAAATGTTTTAATAAAATTTACAAAAAATAGAAAGTGGTGTATTCGAACAACGAAAAAAGGGCATATAGAAACAATGCAATCCGTGTGAAATAAGAAAAAACAAGGAGTACTGATTTAAAGGATGCTTGTAGGCATGACGCGCATGACTATACATTTTTTTTTTTTTTTTTTTATATGATGATGTACAATATTAACAAAACATGCATGCAATAATAATCCCACCACATTTTGTGTATGTTGAATTGTTGATTATATATAATTCCGACACTAAGGAAAAACAAATATCCACAGCAATTAATCTAAAATCAAAATTTAATTATAACGAGATGAAATAATTCAGTACACTTTTGTTGTTGGTTATTTACATGTTTTTATGAGTAAATAAGAGTTCATTTATGCTGTGTGTTTTTATAAGTGCTTTTTTTTAAATCATTATTTTAAATGCAATTAAATCAACATTATCTTCGTTTCTTCTTCCTCTGGTCCCGAAAACCTACTTATATATAGTGCTGAACCACCTGTTTTGTATGCAAAACGAATCAAAAGTCTTGCCTCTGTAAAACATCTGTGTTTTATTAATCATATAAGAAAAACAATCATCTCTAGTGTTTTCCTTAATGTATTTTAACCTTGACAAAAATGTAGAGCTTTATTAAATTTTATTTGTTTCAAATATTAACCTACAAGACTTTTTTAATAGTTAACCTACAAAATATGCTAATTGATCTTATATATCTAATCACGTCTGAATAATTTTCAGAAAACTAAATGCTCACGAGTGAAGAATCAGAAAAATTATTTAGGATGTACCTATAGATATACCAAAAAAAAAATTATTTCCCATGAGGCCGAGATTTTTAATTCACTTTAGCCCGAATGAAGTAAACAATTTTTGTTATTTGTTTTGATTTGAATAAATTTGCTGGGGACGAGTAGCTCAGTTTGTTACTTGATTCAAAACTTCTAATAATATCGAATTCACAAGCTTGCAATTGGTGCTATATAGCCATTTTCGGATTTATCTGTTTGATGCACATTTGTAACCAAACACTTTTTTCCTTGGGTTATATAAAACGGACAATACATATCACTGAAATATACATTAATTGTTTACAATAAGAAAAACGAATAGATTGTCATCTATAGTAGTACTGTCTTATACATTACATATATTTATCGATATAGTGATAATTAACTAAGATTAAAATAAAACATTGTGGGAAATAAGGAATTAGGCAAGGCCTTTCGCTATCTGATAAACAATAGGTTTAGATATTACTTCGTAGGCTTTCTGGGAAGGGTGAGCGAAGTCGTAGAAGACGTATTTATCTGGATTGAAGCATGGTATTATTGCATTCGGCATACAACAACAGGCTTTTCTCGCTTCTAAAAACCCTGCAAATATATGTATTGTTGTAATTAAAAATGTACCATTTTCTTGATCATCATGTAGATCTTAGTGTTATGATTCGGATATAAACTCGATCCCAAAGAAAGAAAAAAAGAAAAACAAACACAAGAAAAAGACACGCAAAACATTATATATTTATAGTAACTTAATTATCCATGATATGAGAGTTACTATAATGAAATTCAGAATTTATAAAAAATATAAATAAAAAATTATTTCCCTCTAATCTACACTAGAAAAAAAAGAGAATAAACATTGTATTAGTTAGGATGCACAATCCTTTAATAGAAAATCAAATGACGCGGTTATGAATATTGAGTCACAATAACCATGTTATTATCACTTGGTTACTTCATGCATATATTTATATATGGGGTGTGTATATACGTACCATAGGCCTTAGGATTTTTGACAAGATCCATAAGAGTACCGTACATGTCGACGTAAACAAACTTTGCACCTTTAAAATCATATTCTACTGCATAACTTGTAAGACCTTTCTGCAATTTGCTGTTGAAGTCTTCCGTAACTTTATTCAAGAGGAAGTTACACCATCCGAATACCCCACCGAATACGGCTCGATGGAGAGGCAAACATCCCACAGGCATCACTCCCATCACCGCGAATTTTCTCGCTCCAAGATCATATAAATCCTTCAAATATAGATACATAAACCAAAAGAGTGTGAACAGTTACATCAAATTCATACTACTAATCTACTATATATATCATAAATTTTTATTTTATTTTATTTGATCTTACTTTTAGAAACTTTCTGGTCCAAACAACCATTTTACTGGTGTATGTATTTGTGGACTGTAATCGTATAAGAGCGGGAGCGACAAAGTATCCAAGATCATTATTTCCTTCGGAAATAAGAAACACAGCGTTTGAAACTATTTCTTTTACTTTTTTCTTACGTTTCACTACTTTCTTTAGTTTCTTCAAATAGTCTTTAAAATCTTTTACTTGGTCACCTGTCGATAAAACTCTCTGACAAACCACCCACAACCATCCAAAAATAAATGAAAAAAATAATTATTAGAAAACATTGTTTGAGATATATAATAGTGTTTATCGAAATAACAATTAAGTTTTTTTCTTCTTTCACCAATGTTCTGGATGTAAGATCGTCGATTCCTGAACCACCTGATGCAAAACAAACGCCAGTTTTAAGATCTTCAGAATCAATGCGACGAATCTTGCTATAAGCTGGTACAAGTCTCTTGATCTGTAAGCCTTGGGCTACAATAGAAGACTTCACCACATGAGAATATTGCCTGGTTATATAAAGAATATTGTAAACATTTTATTAAACATTGCGATATTATACCAACTATATCGGTGAAAACTCTTCCATTTCCGAATCTTCCTGTCGGAAATTTATAGTCAAAACTCAAACCATACGGCCAATAATTTCCTTTGAGAAGAGTAAGAAGAAAATTGTTGTTGCCGGTATCTAGGACTGAATCACCAAAAGCAAAAAGCGCAGAAAATGATGTATTTTGTCCAGCCGCGGATGAGAGGACGTAAATGGAAAATAATGATAACACAAATATTTTTCCCCTAAACATATCGAAAATAAGTCCAAACTTTTTCTGAACAGTTTTTAATTTATCCTATGTTTTATATAGAATTTTGATTTTTCTAACTATGTTTAGACGTCTAGTTCTTTCTTGTCGATGGAAGCCAAAATGCATGATAGTATACAGTACTACACACCGAATGAATGTTAGGATAGGTTAAGACGATAATTATTCCATAAATATCGTGAAAAATGCCATTTAAAAAAATTATTTTAATGCATGCATCTTGTCTTTGTATTTCTGCAGATTTAGTTAGTTGTTACCACTTACCATGAGACATCATTATTATTTCAAACAACCTTTTTTTTTTTGTGTATAACTAAATTGATTTGGTAAACTGAAAATATAATTACATATTTTTGAAACATAAACTAAAACTCCAATATGGTCTGTTTAAATCATTTTGTATGGATATTATGGTTTTGAATGGTGGCATCCGTCGGATAGGAATAGGAGTAGTTTTTAATATGCAAAACATTTTTTTGAATCAAAAGTTTAGGTACAAATAAGAAAAATAGAAAGCTATTTTATAATGCAGCCTAGTCTGGTATTACTAGTCTAAATTTTCAGAAAATAAAATCAAGTTTTATAAAAAAACTTGATCATGAGTGAAGATTTACAAATATATATGAGGTCATAAAACTTATAAAATATCTAACTATAATTATTCAAATTATAAATTCGTATTCTGCTTTCACCCAAAAAAAAAGACATGGATTTTTTTCTTACTTTAGTCCAAAATTGTTAAGTTTGTTGATTTCTTATCTGGTCTTTCCTTTTCTTTTGGTTTAATTTAATTTTATAAATGAAAATTAAATCTGTACAGAGGAATTGTTTAAACATTTACAGTATACAACTTCTAAATGAGAAAAGATATAGAAGATATTAGTTGAGCTTCAAGAAGCTTCGCTCTCATAGTCGGATGATGTCGCCAACTATTGAAACCGGAGGCTTAAGCTTAACAACTGAAGTATGATGCGATCGAGTTGCACTATTTTCATTTGAAATAGCTTAGATGAGAAGAAGCGTGACTAGTCTGATGTATTCATTTGAACGCCTTTGTTCCTGATTATATAAATTGGACTAAACATTCTTTTTAACAAGAAAACCAGAAATAGATCGTCATGTGTGAATTTTCTTCTCATATATATAATTAATGATGGTAATTATCACGATGAAAATAAATCATTGTAAGAAATCAAGCAAGGCCTGTCTTGATATCCTCGACAAGCTTTTTAGCAATTGTTTTGTAGGCTTTCTCGGAGGGATGAGCAAAGTCATAGAAGACATATTTATCTGGATTGGAGCATGGTACTATTGCCGTAAGCATACAACAACATCCATTCTTCTCATGTGTAAATCCTGAAACCATAGAAGTACACAACACTTAACAATTTTGGTCGGTCCTGAGATTCAAATGTCTAAAGCAACACTAAAGATGTGGTTCCTTTAATATATTACATTTGAATCTTGATAATGTATATATTTTAAAAAAAGGAGTTTACGTACCGTATTTCCTATGATTGTTGATAACATCCATAAGAGAGTTGTACATGTCGACATAGACAAACCTAGCACCCCTAAAATCTGATTCTCCTCTCCAACTTTTAATTCCGCTTTTCAATTTTTTGTTGTAATCTTCCGAGATTGTATTTGCCAAGAAATTACACCACACGAAGAACCTACCAAAGATGAGTCTTGACATAGGCAAACATCCCAATGGTATCACTCCCATCACCGCAAATTTTCTTGCTCCTTGATCATATAAATCCTTCATACGTACATTTAGAAAAACCAAAGAAATGTGAATAAGTGCATATATAATAGTATTGATGAATAAAATTTCGTTTTCTCTGTCTTACTTTTATAAATTTTTTGTTCCAACCAACTAATTTACTGGTGTATATATTGGGAGTCATTAATCGCATACCAGCATCATGAATCGCATATGTGATTCCAATATCATTATTTCCTTCAGAAACAAGAATCACTGAGTTTGCAACTATTTCTTTTGCTTTTTTCTTGCCTACTATGCCTTTTAGCTTTCTTATGTAGCCTTTGAAATCTTTTACTTGGGCGGCCGGCGATAAAACTCTCTGACGAAACAAACATCCGAAGAATTAGTTAAGATATATAAACATTTTTCTTAACCTAATAACAAGTTCAATAAAAAAATTTACCAGCATTTCGGATGTAACAGGGTCAACTCCTGCACCACCTGATGCAAAAGAAACACCAGTTTTAAGGTCGTTTGGAGCAATGTACAACTTACGATAAGCTGGTACAATTCTTTTGATCCCCAAACCTTCAGCTGCAGTTGAAAAAAAAAAACTTCACTATATGATTAGCCAGACAATATGATAGAAATTAAATCAGGAATTCCAAAGAAGCATTGTAAAGAACTTTAATATTATACCAACTATATCGGAGAAAACTCTTCCGTTTCCAAATCTTCCTGTCGGTATTTTTTTGTCGAAATTCCACCCATATGGCCAGTAATTTCCTTTCATTAGAGTGAGGAGGTAATTGTTGTTACCGGTATCGACCATTGAATCTCCAAAAGCCAATAGCGCAGGAAATGATTCATTCGGGACAGCTTCTATTGATAAGAAATAAGTGGAAAATAATGCTAACAACAACATTTTTTTCTAAACATATAGAACCCTAAGTTCATAATTTTTTTCCCCCGACAGTGTTTAGTTTATCTTATATATGTTTAATACAGAAATCAGTTGATAGTTTTGTAACAATTTTTAGACGTCTAGTTTTTGTTTGTCCAAGGCAAAAAGCATGAGAGTTCAGTATACACCGAGTGAATGTTAGCATGTTTTAGCTTTTAAGAAGATAATAATTCTATCAATCACATTTAGAAAAAATGCTAAAATAATAATATCACTATGTTTTAGTGCATCTTTTTATTGTTGTATAAAATTCACGGCTCATCTATCAAGTATATCATGTAAATCAAGATTTAAAAAAAAAAAAATCAAGATTTTATTATAAAGAATAATTATATTAAGTTAAGTCAGAGTCGGCCCATGGCACAGGCCCATGAAGCATTTGCTTGCGGCCTCTAATAATATATAAAATTTTTGGCCTCCATTTCCAAAATGTTCCTTTAGTATAGTGTTCCCGGTCTTCTTTCCCAGGTAAACTCCAGTTCGAATCTTGACTATAGTTTTTATTTTATTTTTGGTTTTTTTTTCTTAAATGGTTGTCCAACCTATAAGTTAACTAATAGGTTTTACTGAAATATTATGAGTCAAGGTGCTATTTAGTTATGATGATATTTAAATTCAAAAAATTTTAGCTATAATCATCAACACCATGACTTTTAAGTTCACTTTTTATGGATTCTTATTTGACTGAAGTCCGAAAGTGTTAATTTCGTCGTTTTCTTATTTGCTAGGGGATGTTTATCTCTATAATATCTCTATAATATTAAAAGAGAAGTACAAATGCAAATGGGTCGGGTCAAAATCAGAAAATTGACCCAAAATTCTGAAATCGGATCTTTGAATTTTTTTTTAAAAATAATTTCTAATTTATATTTAATAATAAAAAATTGAATTAAAATCAAATATTTATGGAAATCAAATAAAATTTGATTGTATTTATGGTAACTAATTATAAAAGCATATTCCGAACAATACTATACATTAATTACGTATAATATATTTGTTCATATATTTTTGGAACTAATTCCATAACAATCAAAGTTTTTATCATTAATTTTGCTTATTTTAGCCAATTATCATTAATTAAAATATATCTTACTTGATTTTTATAAAATTTATCACAACTAAACCATCTATTTTATAAATTAAAAAAATATTTTTATTTTGGTTGTGTAAATTAAATAGATATGAAATCCATGTAACTAATTTTAATTTAATTAGATTAAATCAAAATTATGGTATTTTTATACTGATAGCTTACCAAAGAATTTTAATTTTAAAATTATAAAGATTTCTTGAATATGAATTTTAGAATTATTCAACAAGATGATAAATATTTATTAAATTTTGTGAATAATGAAAAGTAATAATTAACTTTTAATCATTATATTTCACTTTTCAAAGTTTCAATCTCTCATCTAACAAATAAGATATATATTCTATTTTCCTATGTCCAAATTCTATTTTATTGTATGACTAAATAATATTCCCATTAGAGCTGTCAAAACGAGTTGATTTGTCCCGTTAAATCCGTTTGTGATAGGCAAAATATATTTTGACATATAGTTAGTCGGTCCACACGACCCGCGGGTAGCATATATGAAACACAAACCCGTCCCGCGAATGTATGCTGATTTGCGGGGTTGTCCGTGGGTTTTTGTTTAAATAATTTTAAAGTAACGAAAATTTAAAATACTACTAAAATAAATTTAAAAAAATTTAGAAAAAATAATTTTATATATCATTATATTTATAAATATTATAATTTCATTTATTAAAAGTTTTTTAAATTACCAAATGTTGAATAAATTATATTCTTATCAATAAATACTAACATGCAGGCTGATCCGCCAACCCGCGAACGAAAACCGATTAAAACCTATGATCCAATACGAATCAATCCATGTTGCCTGTTTATTTTACGGGTTTAATATATTTTCTCAAATCTGCCCCATAGTAAGATGATTTGGACTCGACCCACGGTTTTTGACCTATTTTGACTGCTCTAATTCCCATGAATCGTCTAATTTTAGAATTCTTAAACATAAAATTCCATTTTGTAACCATAATTAATATGATCGGTTTAATTATAAACAATTTCACATTTTCTCTACAATTTGTTATTATAAATATTTGTAAGTACACTACACGATTCACTCTACTTAAAACACAAACAATATTAAAATCAACGTATGTAAACCAATATTCTCCCGTGGTGGACCGTGGGTCCGATCCTAGTTAGATACATTATTTTCCTACAATTGGCAAAAAAAAAAGTTTCTTCAATATACATTAGTAAACAAACGCCTTTGTTGCTTTGAGATTATATATAATGAACAATACATGAGCAGGATTATACATTCTTTAACATAAGAAAAACAGAGAGATCGCCATGTATGATTTTTGTCTTCTCATTTATATTATTAACGATGGCTGTTATTAAGATTAAAATAAAGCATAGTATAAGTAATCAGGCAAGGCCATTCTTGATATCCTGGACAAGCTTTTTAGAAATTGTTTTGTAGGCTTTCTCGGAGGGATGAACGAAGTCATAGAAGACGTATTTATCTGGGTTGGGACATGGTACTATCGCCGTAATCATACAACAACACCCATTCTTCTCATTAGAAAATCCTGCAACCATACAAGTACATGATACTTAGTAACTATATAGCTTTAAAAGCGATAGAACAAACGTGGTTGACAAGAATCGATCTTTAAGAATGAGGAACCGTTTTTTTTTATCAAAATGAGGAACAGTTAACTGTGACATATAAATCAATAGTTTTTGCTAGTGTCATCATTTTATCCCCATCTCGTTCAAATCCGATAGAATTCATGTTGTTGGCAAAAATGATGGTGGGTATTTACTTACCGTATCTTCTATGATTTTTGATAACATCCATAAGAGTGTTGAACATGTCGACATAGACAAATTTTGCACCGCTAAAACCTGATTCTCTTCCCCAACTTTTAGTTCCGCTCCTCAATTTTCCGTTGTAATCTTCTGCAACTCTATTCGCGAAGAAGTTACACCAAATGACGAACCCACCAAGAAAGATTCTTGACATAGGCAAACATCCCAATGGTATCACTCCCATCACCGCGAATTTTCTCGCTCCTTGATCATATAATTCCTTCATACATATAACAAAAAAATGTGAACGAATATATATACTTCATACTACGATATATATATATATATATATATCGATATATGCTTGATCAGAAAATCATTTTTGGTCATACTTTCATAAACTGTTTGTTCCAACCAGCTAGTTTAGTGGTGTATCTATTGGGAGTCAATCCTCGGAAAGTAGCTGATGGAGTTCCAAAATATGAGATTCCAATATCATTATTTCCTTGAGAAACAAGAATCACTGCATTTGCGACTATTTCTTTTGCTTTTGAAGGACCTGCTGTGGCCTTTAGCTTTCTTATGTAGCCTTTGAAATCGTTTACTTGATCCCTTGGCGTTAAAACTCTCTGACCAGATCACCACCAGGCCAAAAACAAATTACAATATTTATTAGAAAATGTATATTTAGTTAAGATATATAACATTTTTAACAGAAATAACAAATTTATTATTATTTTCACCAGCAATTTGGATGTAACAGGGTCGACTCCTGCACCACCTGATGCGAAACAAACACCAGTTCTAAGGTCGCTTGGAGAAACGAACAACTTACGATAAGCTGGTAAAATTTTCTTGATCCCCAAACCTTCAGCTGTAGTAACAATAAAATTACTATATCAGAACAGTATTAGTCATGCCATATGATTATCTAAGCAATATGAGAAAAATTAATTAGGAATTACAAAGAAACATTGTAATAAACTGATATTATACCAACTATATCAGAGAAAACTCTTCCATTTCCAAATCTTCCTGTTGGCATTCTCATGTTGAAACTCCTTCCATATGGCCAGATATTTCCTTTCATTAGAGTCAGGAGGAAATTGTTGTTACCGGTATCGAGAATTGAATCTCCAAAAGCCAAAAGCGCAGGAAATGATCCATTGGCAGCATTTGTTGATAAGAAATAAATGGAAAATAAAGCTAACACTAATGTTATTTTACTACACATATCTAACCTTAAGTCTATTTATGTTTTCAACGACAGTGTTTAGACTCTCTTTTGTTTTATAGAGAATTTAATTAATGGTGCTTCTAAGCTCATGTCAGTAGTATATATACAAGTGATTTTCTAAGTATTTTTAGACGTCTAGTCTTTGTTGTCTAAGGAAGCCATAAATGCATGAAAGTGGTGGGTACACACAGGATGAATGTCACCATGTTTTAGGAAGATAATAATTAACTCCATAAATCTGATGAAATGTATACAGAAAAAAAAATAAAAAAATTCAAATATATTTACTTTAAAATTTTAAGAATATGTAGTCACTTTACACCCAAAAACAAAGACTTTAGAATGAATGATATATATATGATGATTTGTTTTGTAACGTCAACGTTTTCGTCATGTAAACTCATATTCATCCATGTACTTAAAGAGGATCTAACTACTAGAATGGTAAGATGTGAAAAAAAAAAATCTGATTGATTGTCAGAAAAATAAACCAAGAAGAAATATTAATTTTATTTAAATTGAATACAATTTTCAAATGATACAAACAAGATAAGATCAATCGTTATGCCGTGACAATAGTTTTTAATTCAGACGAACTTGTAAACAAATTTGTTAATCAACAATGAGACTAACACTTTGTAAGTTTTTTCTGTAGGATGATAACTGTCCCAAAACACATGAGTAGACACGTCGGGACATACAGAAGACGTGATTTTATTGCACAACACAGCGACTTCTATGGCTCCTGTTCCACAACATCCTTTATTGGCTACTTCAAACCCTACAATAACCCAAATCATAACTTTCAAAGATAGTACCGTTTTATATTGAAGTAAAACGAATAGTACATGCATCAAAGTTTAAACGAAATAAATCTTTGTGTATTACCATAATTAGCAGGATTCTGGATGATGTCAAAAAGAGGATCATATATATTAATGTAGATCGGTTTGATACCCGGTAGAGTTTTACGCAACGAATCCAATTTTGGGGAGAGCTTTGAATTGAAAAGCTTGGCTGCTTCGTTGTAAGTCTCAGCACAATCTCTCATAATACCTCCTCCTAAGGTTCTCTGTGATGGTACACACCCAATTGGTGGTGCACCAAACACAGCTACTCTTCTCACTCCATATCCATACAGTTTCTGTCAATTTCATTACATACTAATCATTATAATTGATGTAATATACAAAAATCAAATCCACACATAATTACCCTTCTTTTTTAAGCGTTTTAAAAAAAATACCTATTCTATCGGAGATGAAAGTACAAGAAAAGATGAGACACATCAATTATTAGTTTACAAGATACGACGACATTAATAAAAATGTTAATTTGGTAGATAGCCGTATATTCATAATATTCTTTCAATAGAATGTAGAAAAGTCTACACTAAAAGTATTAGGCTTTAATGTAAAATATGAGAGAAGCTTACAGTCACAAATTCTGAGGCAGAGTCAGACATAAGAGTAGTGTAGGAATCGATGTCGTATTCAGGTCTTGCACGAATAGTGTAGTATGTATTGGCTATGTCGTCGCTGCCTGCGACCAATAAGAATAAGCTGTTGGCTACTATGAAGTCTTTTCTTTCTTCCCCAACTATATTCTTCACTTTCTCTATGTACTCCTCGAAATATGTTAATTGCTCTTCTAATGATATTACTGCCTAATACCATCAACAAATAGAAATTAAACCAAACAAGTTAGGAAAAATATCTAATCAAATATTTCCATAGGAGTTTGCAATCAAGAACACCATGATCGTTAGATTACAAAGTATTTACCACGAGTTTCGGTGTTATAGGATCATAACCAGAACCTCCTGACGCAAATGATACACCGGTTAAAAGATCTTTGGATTTTAGATTCGGATCGAGGTATGCTGGTACAATTGATTTTATTCCCAGTTCTTCGGCTGCAAAGTAAGAACAGAACACACATTTTACTTATAAAAGAGATTTTTTAACAAATATCATGACTGTAGATGTCACGCCCAATAGTAGAAGACACGAGCCGGAAATTTCTTAATAAATTTTGGTGCGCATAACTATTGAGTCAATGTTACTAGACTTATTTTTAACTACTACTTCTAAAAGGGAAAAGACAACAAATGATTACTCAAGTTTAATCTGCCGTAGTCATTATTTGTGTCCTAGTAATTAATGGTCGTCATATATAAAATGCATGACTCTTTTTACATTGGCAGTTCGCTTTAGAATTAAGAGTAAAGAGAAGGAACCTAGCAAATCGGCAGGGACTCGTCCGTCGCAGAACCTCCCCGTGGCAACTCCGCCTTGGAAATCAATACCGTAAGGATGAAAATCACACTTAACCACGGTTTTGACATTGTTGTTCATTCCCGTGTCGACGATGGAGTCTCCAAAAGCGAATAGCGCCGGAACAACCAACTTTGGCGGCAGCTTCACGGCAGTGATCGTCTCGGTGAGAAAGAGAACAGACAACAAACATATTTTCCACGACGACCAAGAACAAGACCAGCTTGAATTGTCTTTCATGTTGATTTTATGTAATGTATAATATAAAAATGAGTTTGCTTCCAAGTTCCAAGTTTTATAACAACATAACAAGGACAAACAGAGGATACTAAATCAACTTTTGTTCTATACTATCACACTTATTTATATATAGACACATGTCGCTATAAATTACTATATTAATATATATGCGTATGTATCTATAATGTATATATGTGTAATGCATCGCGTCGTGGAGATGTTGTGGACCGGTCGAGTTATTTAGGACAAGACCGAATTAACTGCTTGGAACATTTCGAGATATAGTTGATTAGGTGTTTTCTTCTAATAATTTTGAGGGAAGAGTATTAACTAAGATGCACTTTTTGATAATAATCCTCGAGAAAACTGAGATAGTGTACTCTTTTTTTGTTTTTTTTTAATGAGATTGTGTACTAACCTCAACCACACCAGTCTTTTTTCTTCACATATATACTTGGCTACTCTTTTTTTGGACAACATATAACTATTAGTTTCGAAACACGTATTGCCAGCAGAATGTGACAGACAGAGCATGACAGGCAGGTAATTAGATTACTATATTAGTGCGTATGTGTGTCAACGCTAGTTAAACTGGGATTAGTTAATCGCTGTCAGAGTTTAAGATGGTACTTTATAGGATTAGGAGTATTAAATACTCTACTCCATTTCATGTTTTAATTTTCCCACTAAAAGATACTCCTAGTAGTCATTTTATAAAAGAATAGGTTATATATAAAATAAAAAATAAAATAAAACAAAAATAAACAAAAAAAAAATGACATTTCGGTATAATGTTTCGGTTCAGTAGATTTTAGTTTTTAGGGTATCTACAATAACTGACCACAGAAGACTACAAAATTAGGTGGACGAATTGATCACTATTTCTACAGTAAAAGAGCAGATAAAGTTACTTTATTATCCTTACACACCTTTCTCATCTTCTTTTCTCTCTCTTCATTGCTCAGCTCATGAGAAATAAACGGTGTCGAGAAGGAAACGGAAACAACGACGATGAAGATGATTGTATATGGCTAAGTTTTCTGGCAAGAGCAATGACTAAATGGCAAAAATGATTGTACGTGTTAATGGTTCCGATGGTGGTGGTGGTGATGATTCTATCAGTAGTGGTGATAATTATATCGGTTACGGTAACTACGTCGGAGAAAGCGACAGTGTCGTGAAGTTAGATCAAATGGAGTGGTGAATTGAGATGAAGATAGGGACGGAGGAGCTGTGATGATTGAAGATTTGACAGCGGCAACCAAAAAACTTAATTATGTTGTTTTCTGGGTTTGCTTGTCGGTGAACAGAACTAAAGTAACACATGTTACTTTTATTTTTATCATGTTAACATTGTTATACACGTTAATATAAATAGTATCTATATATTTACTATCTTACCATAAATATTTTCTATGATAATATAAACTTTATCATATCAATTATAAACTTATAGCGATACAATATGTTTTAACACGATATATTTATAAACTTATTGATATATATTTTGTTATCGTGCTAAACCAATAGATTATCATTTAACTCATCATATATTCTTACTCAGATATTTGACGGACAATCTATTCAGAATCAAATAAGAAACGTCGATAACTATTTTATTATATTATTAACTAATTTGTTATATGCGGAGGGACATTTTGGTCCAACTTACAGAAGTTAAGGAGAGAGAACTAATAATATAAAAACTATGAGTATATTCTTAATTTTTTGGTCAATTGTGGTTTTAAATTAATATAGCCCTAGTTTTTATCTAACTTTAATTTAGTATTTTGGGTCAAATTATGTTAACTTAAATGTAGTTTTCGATGGGCTCATATATATAGCTCATATTTGTACGTGTGCCGATCGATAACTTACTTTGGTTCGGTTGACTGGAGTTGGTTTCGTTTGAATTTAAATTGCAAAGTCTATCTTACATTTAAAACAGTAAGAATAGTTGTGATATATTTTAGTTATTACTTATTAGGAATTTCCCAATCATGCAATATGTGAAATCTAAATTTACTCATTTATTTATAAAAGGTTCTAAGAGCGATCTTCGCATCCATACCGCATAATAATAATTAATACTAATTAATTTAAGAATCTATGTTAAAATCTTTGAGCATGTGATGTAAACTGTTACCAAACTACAACTTTGTAGGTCATAATAATTAATACAACCAAGACTTCTAGAGCCCATAAAGCTCAGCAATATAGAAAACATTGTTGGTATTATTTCTGGTCTCTACAATAACATATCCTCTCTTATTTGGGATAATACATATCTAGTTTTATTTATTTTAGAATCCTATAAAAATCGACATAGCGAATCATATGATATGTACGAAAAACAAAAAAAAAAGATGAACAAAGACATAGGGACCGTAGGTAGATGTAGATCACAAGCAATAGGTGATTCTACAATTTCCACTTAACTGAGTGTAAAGAAGGTAACTTTTCTATATATGGTCCGATTGTATCTGTCTTGGTTCTCAGTACACGTGAAAAAGGTACAAAAAAGACATTACGAAGAAAACAATTGTGGCTAAAATATATATATATAAAAAAAAAAAGCAAAATGTTTGTATATATATTTCTAGAGAAAGCTTGCTGTTAATGCTACCTACATAACGATGGTCCAAATCTAATAATTATAGATTATAAATAGTAAGCCAGAGCGCAAGTATCCGAAAAATCATGCTAATTATTAAGAGACTACGATATATCGACAAGGCGTACTAAAATGTGAAATTTAATTTAATGATTCACACAACCATATTATCGCCCAACCACTATCTAACATAATTATGTTTCTTCTATAAACATGTGCAAACAAAAAAAATTATAAATATCTTCAAATGCTTTAGGGTTTCTCCGTTTTATATTGCGTTAAATATCTTTTTTTATTTTTTTGATAAAGATATTGCTTTACATATTTAAGATGAATGTAATACTAAATTAATTTGTAGACAATTAGAATGTTTAGAGTTCTTCTTTTACAGGCTGCCAGAAGAAAATCTATATATATTTTACAGTAAATTTAAATATTTAACTGATTATAGTTAAATTAGAAGAAAATATTGTGATTCTCAAATAATATATTAATCCGTATGAAAGATACAAAACGAGCAATTTCGATTATATATATATATATGTATATATATACGATATAATGGAGTCATCTTATACTATCCACATATATCGTAGAAGATGGACCCGTGGCCTGTACTATCGTAGTTGTATTCATATATAGTAATAACTCGACAGCGACAAATTAAAGTAAAGACCAACAAATAGTTCCATGTATAATGAAAACAAAAGAAAAAAAAAGGTATATTGAAGGCATTTGTGTTTTGAATTCGATATGATAAGCATTCATTATTGTTTTTGAAATTAAATTGATCATTTATTAGTGGGTCCAATATAACTTACAGAATTAATAGGTCCAATTTTTGATATAATTTAGAATGAGATGGTTACTGAATTACTGGATTACAATTTACAGCCAACTGTTTCATATAATAAAAATCAAAATGTTCGGTCCTATTTTTTATTTTTTATTTTACCGCTAATTTAGGTGTTAAAGAATTAGTAGGCCGAATCAGTCGTGGCAAATGATGCATCTCCTAGTAAATCCTATCTTCAAGTTTTAATTTGTGGTCGAAACGGAGATGTAGGCTATATGATATAGGCTATATCTTATTCTTTTAGGAACCTTAATCAAGTTTTCTTCTTTATCTTAAAATCTATATTCCATCTTTTTATTGGCCTTAGTTTACGATTTTCTTTTTTAACATTTTTTACTCAGTATTTTATCGAATTAGTAAAACAAACAATTATTAAAACAACAGTTAACAATATATGTCTCTCAACCCAATATCTCAAATCAGCTCTATCGCTTGAATAGGCTCTTCAACTAGACATTCCTTCTTCTTTCTCATTGTGAGTGGGCTCTCAGCTCTAGGCCTCTCGTTCAACCTCCTGAGTTCAAAATTAGGTCTTTTTTTTTGTTGGGCTGTTTTGGTTTTAATAATTGTGGGCTTTTTGTAACAAATATGGTGGGCAACTCCTACTATAGCATTTTATTTTAGATATATGCATGCATTAGATAGCCAAATTCTATTTTTTTTCTATGCAAAAATAATCAAAATCATCTTTAATTGATCCTGGACCTAAATAGCTCCAAAATGTCTTTACTGCAGTCTGCAGTTAATCAGTTATCATTGCATGGAGATGGCTCACAGGAGATGGGCGTTGGATCTTGCCGCGAGTGATTTAGCTGTAAATAGTTCGACGTACAAAAAAAAAGATATGTAGGCATAAAAGAAAGCAAACACATCGACAAAACATCCACCAATTTGCAAACAGCAAAAGAGCTGATTGTTCAAAAAAAGAAAAAAAAAATGATAAATCATCTTTACTTATCTATTGGTCACAAATTGGAAAATTTTGTAGAGACATTTTTAAACTATTTTTACGATTAAGTCTTCCCTCAGCCGGATGGAAACTGTCTCAAAATACATAATCATATTCTTTTTACCCCGGTTCAATTAGTCCGGTTCCACAACATGCATCCTCTACCAAATAAATCATGTTACATTAATGAAAAACCATACAATTTCATTAACTTTTTAATGAAATAGACAATTTTGACAAAAAAGAAAAAGAAACAAAAAAGAAGAAGAAATATGTTTGGAAATTAATTGTTTATATTAATAAGAGCGACCATCTTTACTTAAACCAACCATCTTTATTTCAAAAGAAATGATAAACATCTTCACTTACAGATAAAAAAGTTTTGTTGAGACATTCTTTAAAGTATTTTTACGACTATAATTCTGTAAGTCTTCCCTCAGTCGGATATAAACTGTCTCAAAATACATAATCATACATTCTTTTGGACGAACATTTTGAGATCACGTCTACTATATAAGATAGTATACATCAAAAGACATGATAAATCAAGCTATGACTTACATTTTTTGTCGAGATCATACATATCTCTCAATATATTTCGTCGCCATAATTCTGTAAGTCTTCTCAGTCGGATGGAAACTATCCCAAAAAACATATTCATCTCTATTTTGACATACATCAGCTGCAAAGTTGTTGCATAATACAGTAACTTCAATTAGTCCGGTTCCACAACATCCTCTATCGACCACCTTAAATCCTGTTACTTAAAACATACAATTTCATTAACTTTTTGATGAAATAAAATGTTAGACAATTAATTTTATATTAATACGAACACGATTACCATATTGTTGAGGGTCTAGAATGATATCAAAAAGAGAATCATATATATCAACGTAGATTATTGTCTTCTCTCCTAAAGTTCTTGACAAAGATTCCAAATTTGCAGCGAGCTTAGCATTGTAGAGCTTTGTTGCATCATTGAACCTAACAACACAATTTCTCGTTGGTCCCCCTGCTAAGGTTCTCTGTGATGGGACACATCCGAGTGGTGGTGCACCGAATACTTGGATTCTTCTCGCTCCATACTCATGTAATTTCTGTGAATACCAAATCATTAAAAAGTTTAAGAAAGAAAAAAGAGTTTAGGTTTTAAAGCAAAATATTGAAATTTGTACGTCAATAATAAACTTTTACGAAAAAAACGTGAGCATTAAAATTTGATAGCTTACAAAAAAAAATAAGATGATGGTTTATTAATTATATCCATACGTACTTGAGCAAAAGATCGAGCATTGTCGGCCATAAGAGTAGTAAAGGAAGCGACATCGTATTGGTGTTGAACAGAAGGAAGAGCAAAGTAGGTGTTGGTTATATCATTACTGCCACATATAACCATGAACAAACTGTTTTTAATTATGAACGTTGTCCTTTCTTCCCCAACCATTTCCTTCAACTTCTCTATATACTGTTCGAATAATTTCAATTGCTGCGATAAAGCTATTCCTCCCTTTAAGAACAACATATTATTATTATAAATAAAATAAAAAAAAACTAATTACCTTAGAAGTAATCATATTTGTTTTATAGATAGCGTAAGATTTAGAAGTTTGATTACCGATAATTGGGTCGTGAAGGGAACGTAACCAGCACCGCCAGACGCAAATGTTACACCGGTTAAGAGATCGTCTGGTTTCAAATTTGGATTTCGGTAGGCCGGTATAGTTGGTTTAATTCCGAATTTTTCCGCTATGATAAGCAAGAGAAAAGAAAATAATTTTTTTTGATAAATACATTTATATTTTTTTTGATAAATAGATTTATATATTAGAAAAATTTCCTCGCCCTTAATTTCTTTGATGTTTCGCTTTTCAGTTTACTTTTTTTTGTTTTTTTTTAACACATGCTTTTCAGTTTACATATCTCAAGAAAATGACACATACATTACTTGAAAACTAAGAGAAAAAAAAGAGATCAAAAACACTCAACGACTGAATTAATTGTCCTAGACTCCTAGTTAATGCGTCTAATATTAACCCATCCATTAATATTGTGATGGTGCCATTGTTTGGAGTTTCTTTGTGCCTTGGTCCATCACATATCTTTTAATCAATACTGTAAATTACATCCAAATTAACACTACTCAGTCACTGAGATATTCAGTACTACGTACGATACAATAATTGACTTCTTTATATTTTTTTTTGTTTTTTTTTTCTTTTGACAAAAAGGTTTTTTTTATAGATCTTTTTCGTTGAAGGCTGTACCAGTAATAACTTATAAGCTGTGTTCATAAAACACAAATTTATATAACTAAAAGTGAGTGTTTAGTTTTTATCTACTGTGTATCGAAATATAATCAATTACATCAAAGAATACTACGTGAAATTTACCTATAAAATCAGTCGCAACTTTGCCGTTGGAAAATCTTCCGGTAGGAATTCCACCGTCAAAATCGATGCCGTAAGGAGGATAATTGCATCTAGCCAACGTTGTCATAATGTCGTCATTATTTCCGGCATCGACGATCGAATCTCCGAACACTATGATCGCCGGAATCGTTTCGTTTGGCGGAAGCTTCACCAAAGCGTTCGTGGTCGTCTTACATAACAACACGAGAAAGAAAACACACCAAAACGGACTCGAAGGAAAAGAAGTAACGTGATGAACATTTATACTGTTTCGTTTCATTTTCACTCTTTGTTTCTTTGGAAGCTTTTGGAATGATGAGTAAATATATATGTAGAGCTTGGATCGGCACATGTATACGAGGACTTTTTATTCAAAATGGTTAATAGTCTAGTCTAGAACATTTAATAATGAACTAGGTTAGCATACGTAAACCCTTTTTAAAATCTGTAATAAATTTTGGGCATAGGGAAATTACTATATGAAAAAAAACAGTACTATATTTTAAAAAAAATTGTCATTGATATCCCTCTTTCGCCTAGTCTGTTTCTTTGTCATGTTTTATTTTCCGACGAAGAAAAACATTAATTGCTTTCGGGCCTGCGTCGATCAGATTTAACTGGGCTTTGTGCTTAATTTATTTTTATCAACCTTGGGCCATATGCTCAGTTAACACCTGCATATATATCAAAGATATTTATTATTGTTTATTTGTTTTTGCCTCTCCTATAAGTTTCAGTTCCATCCTATAAGTTTATGTAGCAGTTGGTCATCCCTTGTGGCTCAATAGTGTTTTCATTGAAGAGAGGGGTTTGTCTTCTGTTTGTGTGTGAGTCTTTTGGCTTTTTGGATGCTCAGTGTTTTGAGATCTTTTTTTGGTTGGTGTGAGTTTGTTATGCTCATCTAGCTCGGTGTTGTGAGCTCATTCTTTTGTATAGTCTTCTCTTGTGGGTTATGGAGTGGTGGCTAGTTTAGGCTAATGTGTCCTAGGGTTCCTTGACATAGTGTAGCTTTTTGTAACAATTGTGTTTCCTTTGGAATTTTAATATAATCTCAGATGACAAAAAAAATAAGTTTCAGTTCCATCAGGACTGTGACAAGTGATTTCGAGGATTTTTTTTTTTTATTATACTAGAAAGATAGATTTCATAGATAAACATGGGATACAAAAGCCGGCAAGGAACAAACCCTTCCAGAGTCTAAGCCGGCGAGTACATGAAGACTCCCAGAGACAAAGATCAAACTAAAGAGAAACCTTAGGGGAAAAAAACCGAACAACTAAATACAAAACATCCGAACAAAAAACTTCTTGGATTCATAATCCAAAGACTCAAATTAAACTTACAAAGCCTAAATCAAAATTAAATAACAGATCTGAGACTAGAAGACTCTCCTTACCACAACCTAAACTCGATTGAATGAGAGTCACTTGTAGGAATGAAGGAGATCGAGATCTTCAAGGTAGAATTTCAAAGTCTGAGGCGAAGAAGGATTGGATCGAACCTGCGCCTTTGCCATGGATGGATCGGCCAGATCTGAGGCTGAGCTTGGAGGAGAACAAAAGACAAGCCGCGAGAACCCAAAAGAAGAAGATTTAGACTTTATAAATTTAGATCTGAAAATCTAGATGTGAAACAGTTGGAAGAAAGGAAGCTCGGATGCGCGGTAGATAAAGGGAAACGAAACTAAAACATGGAACAAAGAAAAAAAAACCCCGGTTCCGGTGCTGAAAAAGCCACCGGAACCGGTAACCCTAGATGGAGGGCGGCGGCTGCGAGAGTTTTAGAGAGAAGGCAGAGAGATTTTTTTTTAGAGAGAGAGAGCGATCAGGATCGATTTTTTCATCTGTGATGAAGTGATTTCGAGGACTATAATCAATCTTTGTTGTTGAAAATGGAAAAAGAAGAAAATTGCCCTTGTGGACAAAATTAAAGCATATATATATATATATATCATAAGAGAAAATATCATTCAAATATCAAAATTACAAGTCTTGAGATATATATATATATATATATATATATATATATATATATATATATTATATATGTATGTGACCATCAAATATCATAAGAGAAAATTACAAGCCTTGAGAAAGAGAAAATTGACACAAGTGTAATTCTCTCTTTGAATTGGAATAATGATTATTTAAAAGTGTATGGAACATGCTATAAGAAATATGAGCTATATCGATTAGAAGAACCTGTTGAGATATCTATCGAAAAGCTTTGCAACTATAATTCTGTAAGCTTTTTCAGTAGGATGAAAACTGTCCCAAAACACATAATCAGATCTTATGGGACACACAGAAGCTGTATAGTTGTTGCATAGCGCAGTAACTTCTATTAATCCGGTTCCGCAACATCCTTTATTGGCCACCTTAAATCCTATAAGATTCATAATAAAAATATACACTTTTACTATAAAAGATTTGGGATGTTAAAAATATGTTGAAAATAAAGTAATAGTGATTGATTACCATATTGATGAGGGTTTAAAATGAGATCAAGAAGAGGACTATAGATGTCAATATAGATTATTGTTGGGTCTCGTAGAGTCCTTGACAAGACATCAATATTTGCAGAGAGTTTAGTATTGAAAAGTTTTGATGCATCATTAAACCTAGCAACACAATCTCTTGTAGGTCCTCCTGCTACGGTTCTCTGCGAAGGAACACATCCTATTGGTGGTGCACCAAATACAAGTATTCTTCTTGCTCCATATCCATAGAGCGTCTGCCACCACATAAATAAAAAACAATTTTTAATAAAGACAGCAGAATTACTAACCTTACTCGTGACATTAATTATTGTATTACTAGTTTACTACTTATCTTACAAGTTACAATTATAAATTGTTTTTACCTGAGCAAAAGAGCGAGCATTGTCTGCCATAAGAGCGGTGAAAGAAGCGACGGTGTAGTGGAGCTGAACCGGAGGGAGAGCAAAGAAGTTATTGACGATATCGTTACTACCACATATAACAACGAACAAGCTATTCTTGATTATGAACTTTGTCCTTTCTTCTCCAACCATTCCTTTCAATTTCTTTATATATTCTTCAAAATATTTCAATTGTTGTGGTAAAGGTATTCCTCCCTTTAACAATATAAAAATAAATTATTGTTATTTTAATACTTCTTTAGATAAAGTAAATGCATAAGAATTCAAGATCAACTACCGCTATTTTGGTTGTCAAAGGAACATAACCAGCCCCACCAGAAGCAAATGTTACACCGGTCAAGAGATCTTCTGGTTTTAAATTCGGATCTCGGTATGCCGGTATATTGGGTTTAATCCCTAGCTCTTCCGCTGTAAAAACAAATAAACTATGAGAATTTAATATAATTACTAGATTACTTTTTTTTTTTGCTTGGGTTTTACACCATTTTAATTTTATATAGAGCAAGAAAATCAAGCTATTCACGGGCTGCAAGTCATTAATCAAGTTATTGCATTCGATATATAGTTCTTTTTGCTAATATATAATTCGATATATGTAGTTATCCAATAAAAATAATGGATTTTTTTTTTGTCAAAGAATAAAAAATAATGCATTGTAGTGCTCTATGTAAGATTTTAATAAATTATTCAATGAAGAAAATAAATTGCAGGTAAACCAACCTACGATATCACCGGGGACTTTGCCATTGGAGAATCTTCCGGTAGCAACTCCACCGTCAAAATCAATGCCGTAGGGAGCATAATCGCATCTAGCTTCTGTTATCATGTCGTCGTTATTTCCGGCATCGACAATTGAATCTCCAAACACTATTACTGCCGGGACGGTCGTGTTTTTTGGGATTTTCACTAAAGCATTTGTAGTTGTCGTAAATAACAGCACGAGAAAGAAAGTACGCCAAAACGGTATCGTCGAAGAAGAGGGACAAAAATAAGAATTGATGCGAAGATGACCAGAACCACGTCGTTCCATAGTTGCTAATTACTATGACGTATCGATGTAGTGTATTTGTGTGTTACGACTTAGAACAAAACATAGAAAATTTTGCTTCTTTAAAAGCTTGGAACGATGGATATAAGTAGTCCTCCTCTCGTTTCCTATAGATATTTATATATCCATATATGTCTACGTGATTTGTTCGGTTTAGTTGTTGTCATTAATTGCAGACATTGACATTTTTTTTTGTCTACATGTTATTCTAATATCTAAGTACGTGTTATGGTTAGAGGATCACGCTTTTTGATAACTAACAACGTACTTTTCCAAACAAATGCCAAAAATCCCTATAAACTTTTTTTTTTTTTTTTTTTGGTGAGCGACCCTATAAACTTTGTTTCACACTTAAAATATGTTTGATTCAAAAAGATTAAATAAATCCTCCTAGGTTTTTCAATATCCAACATAATTATGCATAGCCTTTTCTTAAATAAACACAAAGGTTTAGTGGGACGTATATTAGTGTCCGTCCACCCACTAAGTCTAAACTATTACTCCCTCTGTTTTCGAATAGTTGTCATTTTAACTATATACACACAAATTAAGAAATTATTAATATTGTTAGTTTTTCAATATAAAAATATCATTACTACGAGATCTAACGTTCATGTGATTGAATGAAGAACAATCATTCTTTTCTTTGGTTTTTTTTTTTTTTTTGGTAAAATGTGAAGTATTCTTTTCTTTGGTTATTAGGACAATCATATATTACTACAGTCAACTTACATTTTATTGAATGAAGGACAATCATATACTCCCTCCGTTTCGTTTTAGTTGTCGTTTAAGGTTTTCTTACACAAATTAAGAAAAGCATAATTTGTGTAATAGTTTGCAAAAAAGATTGTTTCTCATTACTACGAGATCTACGTAATAGTTTGCAAAAAAGTTTTTCAAAAAACTAGATCTACGTAACAATTCTACTTAACAGTTTTTGTCAATAATTTTACCTAATAATTCTACCAAACTAGATGTACGTAACAGTTTTCCAACAAACTTTACCAAACAAATATATATTAAACTTTATATAAGAACTGTGCAAAACTTTCTATATTATACTCTACTAAATAACTATTTCAAAGAACTTTAGCAAAGATTGCATCTTTAAATAACTTTGCAAGAAATTCATGTACATAAACGTTATAAAGAATGTAACTATGCAAAATACTTAATTTTCTGTAGAACTAACAAATCGTTTTTTAATGGAGTTTGGTTTGATAAACACTTATATATACGTAACTAACAACATAGTTCACATAAGTTTAGGGAATTAATTTAGAGTTATATGATTAAAAATTATTCTATATTAGTTTGGCATATCCTCCCGATTTTATCTTCAAATTTTATTATAATCAATAAAAAATAAAAATTCAAAAAAATTTTGTGGGCTAGATAGAATTATAAACGTTAATTTAGAGTTATATTATAAAAAATTATTCTAGATTAGTTTGGCATATTTTTCAGATTTTATCTTTAAATTTTATCATAATCAATAAAAATAAAAATTCAAAAAAATCTCTAACTAACGTGGCTGTAATTTGTTTTTATGTTAAATCATATAATTAGATAAACATAAGGCTAATTTTGTCTTTGTGAGTGTACATCTTAAATTCTAAAAGATATAGCCAGGGCCGGTCCTAGGATAGTAGAGGCCTAAAGCATATTTTCATATGTGGCCCTTCTTAAATATATAATATTAGGTAATTCATAAAATGTAAAAAAAAAAACAAAAATATGCTCATTTGGGGGTTTGAACTCAGGTTTAAGACAAGTCCAAAGGACTACTTAACCATCTTAGCTAACGAAAAAGCTTTGTATTATAGCCCATATTTTTAGAATATAAAGTGTGGCCTAAAGCACATGCTTCACTTGTTTTATGGGCGGGCCGGGCCTGGATATAGCCTAGATTAATAATTTTGGTTTGTTTTTAGATTTTTTTCGTAATTTTCCCTTAAATTATCTAGTAAAATGGAAAATTTGAAGTTTCATAGTAAAAAAGGATAGTTGTTACGGATTGGCAATAAAAGTAAAGGATAACTAACTTCACGTACTGACTGTTTTAGTTTATTTCACTTTCACAGTGAAATTGAGAGAAGCAAAGCTGTCACCTTTTTGGCCCTTTCAATGATTTCACCATTTGCTTTTTTGAAAAATTGAGAATGAATTTTAAAATACTGACTTTCTTTTAAAAAATACTGACATTTCCAGTTTTCGTACAAATATTTCCTACATTTGGTTGTTAAGGAGCCAAATAAGTCATGTACATTTTACAAACTCATATGACTAAGAATATATATATATATATATATATATATATATATACAGGTCTTATGATTTGTACCAAAAGATGTGTTGTTGCATTATACACCATTACCACCGTATAACTATTAATGTTTTAGATTTTTTCTTATTAATTAATGTTCTATTAGTTTCTATATAGTTATAATAGAGTAGATACTATTAGTCTATTACTAATGTATCAACTATTCCTAAATAATTGTCGACGTCACCACGTGGTAATGCTCTTTCAAACTCTATCAATTCAATGTCTTCTCGTTATAGGTGTTAACGTCAGTATTAAATGAGATAGGACCCATAATGCCACTATCTGTTCACCGGTGTAGCAGTAAATGCAAATTGAGTTTAAGAAAGAGTGCAAATTATGAAATATATACTTCAAAATTCAAGCAATAAACACGTAAAACAAGTTTCCATATATATCTCACTCTTATCAAAACAGCTATAGAGCCTAGAGATATAATCATATAAAAGCCTAAACATTTAATTAAAGTACCCGTGATAGCAATCGTTACCGGTTTAAGTGCTTCTTTCTCTCTTCCATATACAAATTTTTTTTTTTTTTCTCTCTTCCATATACAAATTTTTTTTTTTTTTTCTCTCTTCCATATACAAATTGGTAGTTTGAACTCTGAAGCACGTGTATTCATTAGTCAAAAGTTAGGCGGTTGCTCGATCGTATTCATGAGTCACATTTTTTCATCCATATAACTATTTGCAAAAGAAAAGTCTATATTCTTTTCTTTTAAAATATTAAGTATTCATTTTTTTTAAAAAATTTAACCGTTTGTTTGATAAATAAGGCGATTGTAAATTCGTATTATACTGTTTGAAACCATCTCGTTTAAAATTCTAACCGCTTTTTTTAACCACGTATAACCTAATTCAACTATTCGTTTAATATGTCTGTACTTTCATCCATTCATTTAGTAGCCAAACGAAATGTTGAATCTTTAATTGCCTTTAACTTTTTATTTTATATTTTTTTTGATAAACCCTATCGAACTGATCCGGTCAGCCCCGTAAGAATGTATCGAGGTGCCACAAAGTGGATTACTCACATGGTTCAACGATTCAACAGACACAATAAACTCCGAGCAGACTCGGATCGAACGGGCCATGAGATCCAAAATTGGACTACCACACTGTCTGATCCGAGTTTGGAGTGCTTTCCGACTAATGTCACGGGTTAAGCAGACCGCCTGCATTTCTGACTACCAGGTAAACCAATTAGGCCAAGGCCCAACTGACAGACTTCCCAAACAAATGTGCTTTTATTTGCAAAAAGGATCGAACTCAAGTCAAGAAGTTTCACTCTTCCCTAAAGCTTCCTCTGCCACTAGACCACAAATACTTTGGCAGATTGCCTTAAACTATATTAACCAATTAAAGTCAAAACTTTTTTTCTGTAAACATGCTTATGCTAACCTAATGCCGATAATTTATTCATTTTTTTTTGTTGAAATACGTTATGAACAAAAGAAATGATTCCATTAACAGTACTAACCAAGGCGAATATAGTCTTGGTCCAAAAGCACCTGATCGGGCAAGTTGGCTCCAATCCTATATTTAAATGCTAGTTTAAACGATTGAATAGTAAAATATGTTTAACAAAATACATATAGTAATCTAAGTGATATTATAACAAAAACATTATCACAAATCACTAAAATTACATATACTCGTCCGTAAATAAACCACGAAAAAACAGAAATAAAATAACTGTATTAAATGATACAATCATATATTCAGATCAAATGATACTTTATATCACATCCTCGACGATACAACCAATTAACACTTGCACATTTATACATGTCTCTTTCTCTTTAGATCAGACATATACCAAATTTTGTTATGTTCTTTAATTAAGAGATCAGATGTGCGTAGTTGCGTACTCATCTTGGTAACCTAATTTTTATGAGCATGCATAGGGACTTTACTTTACAACGAACCAATACGGTGAATTTAATTCGAATACTAAAAATTGCGGCACACAAAGGTAACATTTTTTACTGCAATTTGTTTTTTTGTATTTCAGATGTTAATATTCAAGACGCGGCTAAGTTTTATCCACATGTCCACGTGTGATTCGCCTCGTATCCACACGAAAGTATAAAACCAGCAGCAAAAACTTAATTTCGTGGGTCGTAAATAAACAAATTACAAGCTCCACATTGTATACCGAGTCATCTCCAGATTTATGTTCCACGCTACTTGTTTCCATAACTTTGCAACAACTAACTATATTTATTATACATATCTACATCTTGAACAAACATCATACGAGTAACCTTACTGTTTCTTCTTTCATAACCTTAATTAAGCTGAAACGAGTACCAATTGGTCATCACTATGATTTGAAAATTTACAAGTTGAAATGTTATGAAGCACATAAGTAGTAAATCAATCAGTACCAAATCTCAATAAATGAAAATTAGTCTACCAGACTTTCACGCAATATTAAACATAAGGAAAGTTAAGATTAGGGGCTTAGAGCTTCTTATCGATGGTATACAGTTTACAGTATACATTTGGAAAGTTATATGTATCTTTTATGTGACGTACCCTATAATAAATTCCTATTTGTGCAAATACACACGCGAATGAATTTTAAAAATCTCAACGAATGTTGGATTCACAGTATACATTTGGAAAGTTATATGTATCTTTTATATGACCTATCCTATAATAGATTCCTATTTGTGCAAATACACACGCGAATGAATTTTAAAAATCTCAACGAATGTTGGACTCATCTCCTTGTGAAAACTGGAATTTTTTGTCGTTGTCAACATAATTTGACAATTAGTGCAATTGCACTTGATAAGGTTCAGCGTAAAATAGTTATTTAACTGCTAATCATCATTAAACTGTAAGAAAATGTTTCTTTCTCAAAGCAAATTTAACAAGTTGAGAAAACATATCTCATTTTTTTTTTTTGAATTTGCGCATAGTTTCATTTATCAATACTTTTTCTTAAACTTAAAAAATAAAAAAAATGTTACATAGCATACAATGTATTTAATTATTCATGTTCGAAAATAATGTAGAGAATGTAACAATATTATTGGCACAGTTTGACATAATATCCGAATGATTAACTCGCTTACAAAGATTTTCCCTATCCCCTCTACATTCTCGGATACCAACAATGTCTAGGAAATGGGGAACACTGAACCACACATTGTAACATCAAACACACACACACACACACACGTGCCTTAAAACGTCACAAACTCAAAGACGGCGACGTTTGCATAAACGGGTTCTTGCTGTGTGTACAACATCGTCACCATTATCACCAGTAGACGACTCAGCCTCCTCTGCCATATTCCTCTCCCCAAGTCGTCTCGTCGACTTTTCTTTCTTTTTAATTTCCAGGAGCCTCCCGGCAAGTTCTTTACACAAGTCCGTTTTCTGATTCGTCATCTTCCTCCAAAATTCGGCTTCTGCTAACGCTTTTCTCGTACGAATCTCCATTTCGCCACATTGTTTCTTCATTTCTTCGATGATTTTGTCTTTTCCTCTCACACACAAGACGGCTCTCTCCTCGAGACTCCTTAGTTGACCATACAATTCTCTTGTCATCTGGTTCTGCGCATTTCTGAACTATAAATATATGTTGATGAGAAAACACAAAAATATCATAATAATAAGAACAGAGAAAAACCTGTAACATATGGTTAATGTCATTTGCTTGTTGATGATATGGAGCAATCAAGCCTAGAGGAATCGCGGGATTCTGTGGGACAGTTCCATTGACTGGTGTAACACTCAGAGACAACTTCGTTTGGGGTTCTTGCATCTTTGATAGGCCAAAAGAAGAAGAAAGTCTCTTTACAAAATGTAGATGCAATGATATGAGAATGACAAGGAGATAATGAAACCCTAATCACCAATGATGCAAGTGTGTTGAATTTATAGAAAAAAACAGAAATGTATGAAACATAGAGACGCGAATGTTCAGATACAAACGCGTCTGTAAGAAACTGATGAGTTACTACAACTTCCAAAACTTAAAGGCATCGTTTCGACGAACGGGCTTTTAGTTTTTCGGATACATTTGGGCTTTCTTTAAAGGAATTCTAAAGCCCAATAACCAATTTTAGGCCTATGTTTCCATTTAATATTAGAAAAAAAAGTCAAGGGGTGAAAGGGTCTTTTGTAGAAAAACCGTAGCAAATATCGGGGGACTCGGACCGAGCAAGTACATTAGTAGCTTTCATAATTTACTAATATACCCCTCTTTGATATTTAACGATTAGGGTTTTCCTTTTCTCTATTGTGAACTTACGATAAAGCCCTGAATGTGACCGACTTTGCCCGAGTCGGTGGATCTGCATCTCAAGCGTCTATAAATAAGGACCTTACCCTTCGCTTTTTCTTTATTTTCTAAACGCGCTTAGCTATCTTCTGCCTCTCCGTCTCTATCTCTAGGTCGAGATTTTTTTAGGGTTTATCTCCGTCTCTATCTCTAGGTCGATATTCTTGTTTTGGTTTGCTTGAATCTGAAGCTAACCTTGGGTTAATTGAGTTTTGAATCGATTGCATCGCCTTTGACCTTTATCCTCCGATTGGATCTGAGAAAATATGTCGCGCGTTCTCACTTGCCCACCGCTTGTGTTTGCAAGGAACCAAGCGAGCGTTCATAACTTGGTCGAATCGACTAAGGTTCGTTGAGCTACAGATCTGGTTTTTTGCTTTTTTTCGTGATTGATTTTTACGGATTTTATTCAACCTAATTTTGGATCTGTAGTAAGTAATCTTTGAACTTGTCTTTCCTAACTTGTTCTTAGCAAATTGTACTGCGATTACCATTAGGATTTGTATATAATGTTTTCCATAAATCTCATCATCATTGTATCCCTTAGGGGTGAATCAGGTAAGTTGCATTGTTTTCAATTCTATTAGTATGATTTGATAGGTCTAGAGATGTATATGATTTAGTTGGTAGGAGCTTCTATGTATGTATTTGTGTTTCCACATTGAGTGGGATGGTTGAACCGGTCTGGTTGTGTAAGACGTGGAGTCTAAAACCCTTTATTCTAATGGATTAAAGCATGAAAGAATCACACTTGATTCGAAAAAGGCGCACCGGATAGAGAAGAAGGAGAAGAGAATAGAAAAGATAGGAACTAAGCTCCCGAAATCACATAAACATTCAATTAAAGCTGCTGATAATCATCACAAGCTAGTATTTCTTCCCTCCAAGAAAGTCTCAGATGAGTCTGACCAACATGAGAAGAGTGGTTTGACAGAGGAGCACGAGGAACCTCAAAACCATCTTGGATATTTGTCTGATGGAAGTCAGAATAGTAAGAAGAGGAATAGAGACAACTCTCCTCCGGCCTTTGACAGTCTCATCAAAGGTTTGTATCTATTCTTAATCGACACTCAAGAAGATCATGTCGATATCTGTTTTTAGGTGATTTACATTTTTATTTTCACATGTATTTGCAGCTTCTCCTGTAGCGGGTAAACCTCTACGGATTCGGTTGATCTTCAAAAAACCAAAAGAGGAAGTTCCTGTACTGCCTAGAGAGGGTCTTGTTTGCTCCACTACAGTTGCAAAGACTCTCAGTCACCAGGATGTCATAACAAGTTCTATATCAGCATCTGAGCTTGAAGAGAATCTGCTGTCAACTTCTGTAGCAGCGGCAATAGATGAAACAAAGAAGAGAAAGAAACACAGACCTAGCAAAGAAGATCAATACAATGCATTGTTTGATGGTTGGACTCCGTCTTCCATTTGTTTTGCTGATTCTTCTTCAAATGACAATGGTGATGATTGGCTATTTGGGAACAAGACGCAAGAGATGCTTAAGCCCAAAGCAGCAGTCAAGATTGCCGATGACATGATGATGAAACCAGGAGATTCATCTTGGCCTAGAGCTCAATTTTTGTCTGAAGTTGGGATCTATTCTTTACCGTACACCGTCCCGTTCTAATTGCTCGATTCTTTTTGTTCTAGCTTTAGGCTTAAGCTTGTACAGTGTTTGACTGTTTGTAACAACAATTCTAATCTAACCCAATTTTGATGTGTCAAAGGCTTTGTAACATATACTAGACATGCTATTCAGATCACTGTCACAACTGATAGATGTCAATTGGTTTGTTACTCTCACAACCTGAAAGCTTGGTTCAATTCAACATCGATCAAGTTTCCAAATCTAAAGATCTGTGATACTTCAGCTTTAGTATCGTAGCCTGATCATATGTCTCGAACAAAAAATACAGTGCCAAAATTCTACAATTCGATGTAAAATCCGCTTTGGTTATAAAATTACCGGAAAATAAACTTAATCTCGTCAATTGGCATATTTTTTTTTATCAAATAACCACAAAACAAATCTCGTTGAATTCGCGATTGTGAGCGGATGATTTAAACAAAAGCAAGAAAATAAAAATAAAAGAGTAAGTCTATTATTCGTGAGGCGCCCAACTGGAAAAAAAAAAAAAAAAAAAAAAAAAACTGCTGACACACGGAGGAGAAGAGATGAGGACGCTCGCCGGAGTAGAAGACGAGGATAAGTGGCTGGCGGAAGGAATCGCCGGAATCCAGCACAACGCTTTCTTCATGCATCGCGCTTTGGTCCGTTTGCTGCTCTTATTTTCCTCCGTCGAGTCATCTCCTTTTTGATCTGATAAATCTTTCTATATCGTTCGTCTCTCAGGACGCGAATAATCTCAGAGAAGTTCTCAAGTACTCTGCTCTGATGCTATCGGAGCTCCGAACCTCCAAGCTCTCTCCTCAGAAATATTACGATCTCTGTAGATTCCATCGCCAATAACTTTGAATCTCTCGATTTGTTGCTTGTGTTGACCGTTTTCTTATGATATTTCTCTTTCTGATTCGGCTAATTGTAGATATGAGAGCTTTCGATCAATTGAGGCAGCTGGAGATTTTCTTTAAGGATGAGAGTAGGCATGGATTACCTGTGGTTGATTTGTATGAGCTTGTTCAACATGCCGGCAACATATTGCCCAGGATGTAAGCAGATTCGTTTTTATCATTGAACTAGTTTCCATTTTTCTTGATCTGATAAAGATCTATTAGTCTCAATTCTTTAGCTATATAGCCTAGATTAGACTTTATCAGATTGGACTACAGTTATGAGATTATACTAGAAAATGGTTATCTCCTCCTATACATCTATCGAGGCAGCTAAATTGATGTTTCTCTTGGGCTGCATTGATTTACCAGGTATCTGTTATGTACGGTAGGGTCTGTGTATATCAAAAGCAAGCAGGCTCCTTCTAAGGATGTTCTTAAGGATCTTGTGGAAATGTGTCGAGGTGTTCAACATCCCATTCGTGGCCTCTTTTTGAGGAGTTATCTTGCTCAAGTCAGCAGGGATAAGTTACCTGAGATTGGCTCAGACTACGAAGGGTGGGTTTGCTCTTTCGTTTTCCCATGAGATTTGGCTGCTTAGCTGTTTGTTTGTTTACTCGCCTTGCCATCTTTTTGTAGAGATGCGAATACTGTGATGGATGCTGTGGAGTTTGTGCTACAAAATTTCACCGAGATGAATAAGCTCTGGGTTCGAATACAGCATCAGGTGAATTTTCGATCTGTGAAGAGTTGATGGTATCTAGATACGCATAGCACCTCTGCACTTGCATGCCTCTGACTGAAGCATAAATGAACGATGAAGAGCATGCTTTTGGTCATGCAGGTTGTGTGGTGCTTGTGAATCATTGATATTGGTGAACCTGAGCTGAGGTGTTCCTTGGACTGCAGGGACCAGGAACAGTTCGAGAAAAGCAGGAGAAAGAGAGGAACGAACTTCGTGATCTTGTACCATCGATACCACTACTTGAATTAATATCCTATTTTGCTATGTCATTGCCCACTAAGTTATATTTAATGTTCTCCTCTCAGGTTGGAAAAAATCTACATGTTCTAGGACAGATCGAAGGTGTTGACCTTGAGATGTACAAAGAGACTGTTCTTCCTAGAGTCTTAGAGCAGGTTCAGCAGCTCATTTTTGCATCTATTACCAATTCCTTTCTTAGAGATGAGTTTCAATTACTGCATAATCTGGAAACCTTGAACAGGTCGTCAACTGTAAAGATAAGCTGGCTCAGTATTATCTGATGGAGTGCATAATTCAAGTCTTTCCTGATGAGTACCATTTACAGACTCTTGAGACCTTATTGGCTGCTTGTACCCAACTGATGGTGGGTAGGCTAGCAATCAATATTTTTCTCTTTCCTACTCTCCAATGCAATTCTAGTTTATCCAAATGCTTTGTTTGGTGCTTTCTGAGTAACTCTTCTGAAATGTCTGCATTGCCATTCACTATTCTTGTTCTTTTTTAGGATTTCGGATATTCTTGTGTTTATTTCCTGGTGACTAGGGATTTGGCTCACCAGTTAGAATTTTTTGAAGGAGGTCCCTGATCTCTTACAGTTTGACTGAAATTACAAAACTTTGAGCAGGGAATCCTCAACAAAGAGCACTTTTCTTCTGAATTGACTCTCTGCATTTTTCTCACTTGAGATATTTGACCTTTTTCCGTCCTCTCTAACCTTAAGAAATAATTTCTCAGCCAACGGTTGACACCAAGATAGTGTTAACCCAACTAATGGACCGGTTGTCAAACTATGCTGCCTCAAGTCCAGATGTAAGTGCCTATTGATCTATCATCGTTCCTTTTTATTTCTGTTTAATGTTAGCTAGATGTCTTCTTATTCTAGAATTCTATGCAGGTGTTACACGAATTTTTGCAAGTGGAAGCTTTTGCCAAATTGAGCAATGCAATTGGAAAGGTGGGCTCCATTAAAGGAAAATCTATTATGAATGCAATTTTCTTTTGGCTGTTGGATACTTGAATCATAACGGCCCTTAGAATGGTCCTATGTAGGTCTCCAGTACCATGAGAAGTAGTCAGCTTGATTTTAGTTTGTCATGTTATTTTCCAATCTTCGCTTATCTTCTCTTAATCAACTCTTTTGTTAGGCATCGTCAAATCACCTTCCTTGACATATGATGAAAAATAGGCCACTGTAGTCTGAACATGTCTGTGCTCTAGTTGTTAGATTTGAGGTTCAGTAGCTAGAAGAGGAGTACATGTAAACTTATGCAGAACTTAAAATGGAAAACCATTAAAAATCAAGCTATCAAATTGCTGGATGATGCATCTTGTTTTCTTTCTCGGTCATCCAACTGCCTCAGTTCATATTGTAGATTCTGTTGGTCAATAGGCTCAATTCTTTGAGTCTTTGCTTTTCCCAGCATCCTGCATAAGATGCTTTATTTTTCTTGAAATATATCTATATGACTTATGAACTTGGTGTGGGATACAGGTGATAGATACACAGCTTGAGATGCCTATTGTTGGAGCTATGACTCTGTTTGTCTCTCTTCTGACTTTTACTCTCCGAGTTCATCCTGATCGGCTTGACTATGTGGATCAAGTATTGGTATGGTTTCCCTTCGTGGCCATATTTTTTATAAATTTTTAGTCAGTATTGTCTCTGTAGCTTGTATCTACATTATATAGTTTTTTATTGATTTTCAGAATCAGATTGGTTTCATTATAAAAGGTGTCAAATGCATTTTTAAAGTTTGATGATTACTTGAATCTGGTGTAACACTGGTGTTAAACTAACTCTTGATCCGAAAACTTTGTAGGGTGCATGTGTAGTAAAGCTTTCCAGTGTGCCCAAGCTGGAGGACGCCCGTGCAATGAAACAAGTAGTTGCACTTCTGAGTGCTCCTTTAGAAAAGTACAGTGACATAGTTACAGCTCTTACATTGTCAAATTATCCGCGTGTTATGGATCATCTTGATGATGGAACGAACAAAGTAATGGCAATGCTTATTATTCAAAGTATAATGAAAACTGATTCGTGTATATCAACTGCTGATAAGGTAATACTACTAACTCTCTTCAATTAAAGATGTAAATATGTTTACTGTAGTAATAATATGCCAATTTTGTGTTCACTAGGTTGAGGTGCTGTTTGAATTGATAAAAGGACTTATTAAAGATTTGGATGAAACCAACGCGGAGGAGGTTCTGTCACTTTCCCTTCGTTTTTTTCCGTGTGGTTTGCAGTGAGCAACTCCGATCAGCTGTAATTTAACACCTTGGTCCTGATGGATTTTCTGTGTTTTTCTTTAGCTTGACGAGGAGGATTTCCAGGAGGAACAAAATTCAGTAGCCCGTCTCATACATATGCTTGATAATGAAGAACCAGAGGAGATGCTAAAGGTTGAACATCATTAATTTACTATACTTTCAGGTTCAATGTTATATGCATTTCGCTTCTAGACCTATTGTCCCCATGATTCTACTTGATATTTATGGTATGGTGAAAGCGACTTGTTCAGTTAACCTCAACATGGCTATTATTATTCAGTGGAACAATCTTAGTCTGTTGCTCCATTCACCCAAAACACCCTACTGTCCCATGATCCACTACCCTGAAGCGGCCTGCATTCGTATATTGACTTGCAGGCCGGCTTCAGGCCCATTGGCGTTCATTTACAGAAGAAATCAATAAACATTGGGCTTTGGCGCCATGGTTTCTTCTTAAATCATTATCCCTATCGTATAAGCAAATGAATATCTTAACTGGGTATTTTACTGATATGCAGATTATATGTGTTGTGAGAAGGCATCTTATGACAGGAGGACCTCGACGCTTGCCTTTTACTGTTCCCCCACTTGTTTTTTCTGCAGTTAGGGTATATCTCTTTTTTCACCTATAACATGCTTGTAAATACTTATATGCAGATTCTCTGCTTGAAGACAAGTGGTTGACTTTACGAGTTGCTTAAATGTTTCTTTCACAGTTGGTGAGGCAGCTAGAATCCCAGGGTGGAGATATAGCAGGAGAAGATGTTCCCGCAACCCCGAGAAAGATTTTTCAGATTCTCAACCAGGTTTGTGAGCTTTTTTTTTTCACATATCTGAGACTGAGATAGAGAAATATGTTTTGTTTACTTCACTGAGGCTGGCTTCTCAGGAGTTAAAAATCATTCCTTGTGAATTGTTTATCTCTTTGATATATTCAGATTATCTTTTAAAATTAATGCAGTACCCTTTCTAAGTGCACTTTACTGTGTATTTGACGTATTAAGTAGATCAATTATCAATCAAAACTGATGCATTTTTTCAATATCAGGTTATTTGGGATAGTTTTAGTTTTCTCTCCGAGCTGCAGTATGCGAAAATTAAGTTGTTTACGACACTTCACGTTTAATGGTCAATATTTTTGTAATCCATTTAACATGTGCTTTTTTGTTTCAGACAATCGAGGTTCTTTCCTCAGTTCCATGTCCTGAACTGGCTCTAAGGCTCTACCTCCAGTGCGCTGAGGTAATTTATAGGGTTCGGTTTACCAAAAAATTATGAAAAAGCTTTGAACATATCCAGCTATTATTTCGAGCTCAGAATAACGTGATTCAATTAATGGAATCCAGTAATCTGTTGTTCATTTTATCTCTGTTTGCCTTTAGCAAGGCATAATCTGACATAGCATTCTCAATATTTTGTCTTATTTTGGATTGATGATCAGGCCGCAAGTGACTGTGATCTTGAGCCTGTTGCTTATGAGTTTTTTACCCAAGCATTTATATTATACGAAGAAGAAATTGCGGTAATTTCTTCATTCCTTTCTGAGTGAACTTTACACAAAGATAACTAAAAGTCTCCTAAAATTATATACTTTCATTTTTCTTGTGGTGCGTTGTATTTTAATATAGGACTCGAAGGAACAGGTAACCGCGATTCATCTGATCGTTGGAACCTTGCAAAGGATCAATGTCTTTGGTATTGAAAACAGGGACACCTTGACACATAAAGCAACCGGGGTACAAATATTTTGCAATGCTTTCTTCTCAGCTTCTATCCAAACGCTTACGTTGTGTGTTTCTTTGTGACCAGTACTCAGCAAGGCTTCTTAAGAAGCCTGATCAATGTCGAGCGGTTTATGCATGCTCTCACCTCTTTTGGGTCGATGATCCAGATGGTATTAAAGATGGAGAAAGGTAAGTTCTTTTCCTCTTTCATTACTATCACATTTTTTCTTTCACTTTCTGTTTCATTGTCATTCGCCGAGAGAAAACTTAACCATGGGTAAGTCAGTGATCTTCTTATCTCCAGAACTAATCGATTCTCAATGTTATTCTGCAGAGTTCTTCTCTGTTTAAGACGTGCACTGAGGATAGCAAACGCGGCTCAACAAATGGCTAGTGCAACCAGAGGTAGCAGCGGACCAGTCACGCTGTTTGTCGAAATCTTGAACAAGTCAGTATACTTAACAACAAGCAAACAAAAACATCGGACATTGATTCATAGACAAAGCTACTAATAATGGTTTTTCATATATACAACAGGTACATTTACTTCTTTGAGAAAGGGAATCCACATATCACTCCATCTGATATACAGAGCCTCATAGAGTTAATCAACAACGAGATGCAAAGCGACAATGGTAACACGACAATCCACTCAGACCCGTTCTTTACAAGTACATTGCGTTACATTAGGTTCATAAAACAGAAAGGTGGTTTGATGGGTGAGAAATATGACCCTATCAAGTTGTGACTTATATTCGCGACACAAGCCTCATCAAATCCGGGGAAGAATTTACTGTAATTTCCAAAGAATTGGTGAAAACACTGAAAAGGATGTGTGTACACATGTTTGTTTTCTTTTCGGTCTATATGACGAAATGGAGAAAATCTTTGTAATTCTTATTTTCTTGTTCGTAATACTCACCTGTGTGTATAGAATCCTCGTTTCTGTAAACCATTCTTTGAATCTATACCTCAATGCAACGTTGTTTCTGTTGTATACAAGTCACAGAAATACATCACACAATACGTCTTTAGTTGTCTGAATCTAACTACATGCCAATACAAGACCATAAGATCAACAGAAGAAAAGAGATTGTGAGCTTGAAAAAAGTCACTATAAAATTAATTAAGTTCATCTGTTAAGAAAATACAAAATGGATCCCAACAACAATAACAAAGACAAAAACAGTATTAAGAGATTAGTCTACATAGCAAAAGTACAACAACAACAACAGCACACCAAGAACTCATCCCCTTCTCTTACCCAGAATCCTCTTGGCCTCACTTCACTCATTAGATACACCAGCAAAAAAAGAAGAGTAAAGACCGAAACAAGCCGGATTCAACAACTATACAACGTTGCTGGTGTTTTTCTTTTTCAGCTTCGTTTGTTACCTAAATCTTTTTCCTTTTAAAAGATGTTCGATCACAAGAACACGCAGCGGTTCTTGTTCTTTTTCTTCTTCTTCTGTTTCGGTGGCTGAAGCACCACTTTTATGGCTGCGTCAAAGACTGCTTTCACATTCTGCAAAACCCAAGACCCAACATTTTCACTCTCTTACCAAAACCATATCCAAACAAAAAAGACATGTGAGGTATTATTAATGTGTGTAGTATACCTGCTGCGTCTTTGAACTACATTCAATGTAGATTGGAGATCCTATCAGTTTCTTTAGTTCCTCTCCCTGCAGACAAACAACTAAAGATCAAGAACTCGCTTGGCAAAAACTATTGTTTTAAAGAATATTGGATTGTGGAGTTATCTACCTGGTTTGTAGTAATAGGCACTGCACCAGGATGGTCTATGAAGAATTGCTTGTCATCTCGAAGATCTGCATATTCCAAAACTTGAACTATTATCATCTCTTTCTTAGTATTAGGAAAGAGTTTTTAGACAAGAAAAGAGTCAATACCGAGTTTTGTTCCAACAAGGATTATGGGAACACCAGGGGCATAATGCCTGAGCTCAGGAATCCACTGAAATAAAGAAAAAGCAAATGAAGAGACCAATTCAATATTAGCTAAGCAAAATATTATTATTATCAAATGAAGGAAGTTAGATGAACAAAAAGCTAACCTTCTTGGCTACATTCTCATAGCTAGCCTTGCTAATAAGGGAGAATGCAAGAATGAAGACATCGGCACCACGGTAACTCAACGGTCTTAACCTGTTATAGTCTTCTTGACCTGCACAAACGAAAGAACTATTAATCAAAAGGAAACCACAAGAAAACCAGATTTTTGATAGGTTACAAAAGGAGTTTTTACCAGCTGTATCCCACAATCCAAGATTCACCGTGTTCCCATCTACAACCACATTAGCACTGAAGTTGTCGAAAACAGTTGGAACATAGTCCTGATAGTCAATAACAAAGTCATAGAGTTGGTTAAACAAAACCAGTTTCTCAAGAAAATTTTAAAAATGGATCATCATATAAAAATAACACACGCAATAATGGAAAAGATTGTAGATCCTCGTATATGCAAATTTGACTAATACATACAAATTGAACACAAGTCCAAAATGAAAGAAAAGCAATGCTCATAGGTAAAGATAATAACTAAGAAGCTGAATCCATGGAAGCATCATAATAGTTCTGAAGAAAATGTCAAGATTTAACTTTTACAATTTCGCCAGCTAATCAATCACATTCAAGAACAAAAGATGCCAAAAAAAAAAAAAACATTCTCAAAGAAAGCTTCAAGATCACTACTGAGAGCAAAAAAAAAAGAAAAAAGGATGAAACTTTACCGTAGGGAAAGTGTTGCTTGTGTAAGAAATCAGCATACAGGTTTTTCCGACGGCACCATCGCCGACGGTGACACACTTTATAAACCTCGAAGCACTCATCTCCGCCGCAAATTTCACAAACTCAAACCTTTTTTTACTTGTTCGTCAAATCCCAGCCATTCCCAAGAATCAAAACACAATCTTTTCTTACTCAAGAAAAAAAAACCCTAATCCCGAAATGTAGAACACGGGTAAATTCAAATCGATGAGAGATAATGGCAGAGGAATGAGAAAAATCTTTGCTTTTTCTTTAGTTTTCAATGTATTTTGGGCCGTTGATGACTTTGAGATGAGCTTTTCATACAACCTTATGCCAGCTAATGCTACACCAAACAACACCTTATCATTTACACTTTTTTAAAAATACTACTACTATTATTAATATTTTGACCACTTTTAATTTTGAATTTTGAATACAAATGAGAAATTATCCTTTTTGATGAGGTTTTTAAGTTTCTTTATATATAGTATAAAACTATAAATAATATGTTTTCTTTTTTATGTAAATGATATATGAAATTAATACTTGTTTTGACATAGCTAAACTACCACCAAAATAACAACCTAATTCACTAATGAACATGGAATTTATTTTATTGTTTATTTTTAATAAAAGAATGTTTTCTAATTTTGACCCTAGTTGTTAACCTAAATGAAAATTAGAAAAAGAAGAAGACAGCAAATAAATAAAAGATTATAATTTTTTTTTAAAAAAAAAACAAACTAAGAGTAAAGCATATTATTAATCGATGAAACTATGGGGAGGCATGAAATTGCCAAATATTAATCATTGGATTGGGACACTCCTCGTAAAGAACGTGCGACTTAGTGTTACGGCACCATTTCATTCCTTTTTATCAAATCTCTTTCATAATTCATTTTATATTATAGTTTTCTTTTGTCAAGAGTGTCTTTGTCTTTGTCTTTGTTTTTATAAATGTAATTCTAAAGAAATTTCTTCATCTTTACGACATACATGTATAAGAATTGAAAAATCTTACAAGAACGTGCTCAACTCTCACTCAACGTACCAATGAGCATACGACACATCATGAACTGTCCCACATTAGTTTTGTCCAAATCATACGGTCGCATTATTACATTTTCTTTTAACAATAATAGATATGGACCATGGACACATTGAAATTTTGTCAGTTATATTTTATATGATCTAAATAACCAATCATATAAAAAAAACTAAAAAAGGGGTTAGAGTTAGCTCTACGCTTCTACCTACTCTTCACCAAAAACACCTTTACCCATTCATTCTGATTCTTACATGAAATGAATTTCAGACATTATGATTTTTTAAAAAATTTTAATATGATTGATAATGAAATCTAGTGCTTGTAATTAAAGCGACTTATTTGGAAATAAATAAACTTTTCATTAGTGATTCAAGTGACGATCACCGTTTTCTGTTGGTAGAAATTTTTTGAAATCGATATGGACGGAGTGCCATAAGGCCCATAACACAAAGGCACAACTAGAAGCTAGAAAAGACAATAACAAGAAGGCTCAGACTTGAGGCCCAGTAGCAACTTTAGGCCCATTAAGGTGTTTTATATTAGTGAATGATAAACTTGTTAGTGCTATGTTTGTAAGTAATTAGTGAAGAATAAGCCCATCGAGGGAAGCTTGGTGACAAATGCGGCACTTAGTGACTGGTGAGGGTGAGACTCAAAATGAATTGACTGACTAGTGCATGATTATCCACGAAACAAGAGTTTATTTTGGAACGTAGTAAATCATATGTCATAGAAGAGTAAAATATGTTAGTTCTGTTAAATCCAAAATGTTTTTTTTTTTTTTTGTGACGTAATTAGTAGATAAGGTGTAGTAGACTAAAGTCTGTCGGCTTCTCAGTCATTCAACATTTGTTAAAATCATAGTGCTGAAGTTTGACAAGTGCAAACAGTCTCCATAACAGATGGCGCATAGTTAATTTCTAACAAACAGGCATTGCTTAGTACTGAAATTTAAAACATGGTCGAGACATTGGGCCATAAATGTACGGTTATGAGAGATTTGATGACTTTTCTGAATTAACCATTTAACCTCAACCTAAAACAGTCAAATTAAGGTTTGTAGTTAGACTTCAAGTAGAGAGAAATTCAGAAAATTTAACAATCAAACACACAAATATCTGTTACATTACTTAATTAGCAATGAAAACACACATATTTGTTACATTATTTAACACTCGAACACACAAATATTTGTTAAAATATTGTGTAATGAGTAAGCATGAGCATGCATACACTGTGATACACAGTACGTACAACTCCAACATCAGATACTAGCTTGAGAGAATATATATATATATATATATATGGGTGCAGCCGTGCAGGAAGTTTATGCCATGCTGGTTCCAACTCCATCGAAGTAACAGTTTTGTTTATATATCCCTAATTTACAAATCTTGGAATTTGGGATATAGAAGTCTTTTTATAACAACATAACAAGCTTATGAACATTCTATTAAGTCTTGTAAATTGACATAGTTTTTGTGGAAACATGCATTTGGTATTCTTCTCCAAAAATGCCTCTCTTGTCCATTGTAGCCGAGCCAAGTACATTAAAAAAAAAAGAATCAAAGATATCTCACTAAACATTTTTTCTTTTCTATATTCTTTATTTAACTTTTTGCGCTTGCAAATCCTTTTTAATAGAGAAACCAATATGCCTACTCAACACACGACCTCTATTTTTTTTAAGTTGAATCAGCTACGTAAATCGCTTTGTTATTAAGTGGAGATGATGTTATGGAGCTCTCTTTATATATAAGCCAAGTATTCTTTATTATAAGCAGTTTTTATATATAACATATTCCTCCGAATTATCTATCTTTATCCCCAAATATTGGTTGTGTTACTTGTGTTGCAGTCTTGCAGAAAAAATATGGACAAGAAGAAACAGTAGTATATGTCGTACGTAAAAGTTTTATCTTATTATAACAAAGCAACATAAACATATCTGGTACATGTCATAATACCACTTATAGAGTGACACATACTTATTTTATAAAATTACACTTATAATTAAGCACTAAGAGTTTTTGGTAGATTAACATAGGAAATAGTAGATTAACATGGGAAGTAGCAGATACATTTGTGAGCTGGGAAGACATAGTTGCAAGATCCATGTCGTGCTTTCTCAAGTCTAATGCACTGATTCTTGCATGCATTATTGTTTCCGCAAACTCCTGACCATGTTCCACTTGGTCTCTCGCATAATTTCTGTGCTTCCACCATTGTTGGCGCTTCTGCATATGGATATATCTCTCAAAGTTAGTTATCACAACAAAGAGAAAAGTTAAAACTCAATTTGCCATGCATATGAATATGATATATGATAAGATCAATACTCACCAAGAGCAGCAAAGAAAACAAGAGCAGCGAAAAAAAAGGTAACGATGGTAGCAGACTTAGCCATGACTAGTTTTTAACTTTTTATGCTTAGTTGTTTTCAATGTATATATGTTTTAGCTTGAAGAAATAAGCTTGGGATCAACCTCTATTTATACTGAAAAAAGGATGGGGGAGAAAGTGTTTAACCCCATGAACAAATAAAAAACACCGTCTGATAGTAGAGAATACTAACACGCAAGTATACACCTAATGATAGAAGATATTATCTTGACCACCAATTCATAAAAAGTGTGCTGATCAATATAATGCTTGTAAGCTTGTTTCAAGTGCCACATTTGTTCATTTGCAATTTCATTCGACCGGCTGGTTTGACTTGGTCAAAAATTTAAATATCTTGAGGGTTGAGCAAATCCTAGTACACTGGTTATTAAAAAAAAAATCCCAGTACGTTACACAAGTGGTACTACTGTGGCAGTGATTTGTCACGGCCACATCGCATTTAATAATAAATCTTGAAGTTGGATATTTTCTATCGACTTTTCTTCTCTATTCATTTATTTTTACTGAAACCTCCAAGGAGCTACTTCACTAGCTTGCAAGTTGATAAAGTAGGTTATTTCTTCACTTTCTTTGTTATTGATCACATAATCACCAAACTAATTAAGATCTAAGCATGTAATTAAATATGAGCTATATAGTGGATTTGAACAAATTTACAAGAGGGCTTGGACTAATAAATTTGTAATTTCGTAATTCCCACCCCAACCCAACACAAACTTCTTGGATTCAACTCTGCCAAATTCAGACCACCGAAACAACTTAAATCCGATTTTTTTTTACGAGTTTTAAAAGTAAATCTAAAAAAGCAAACTAATCGAAAGAAAATTCGTTTTAGACTTCGTAGTCGTCATCCGCAAAGTTTGACAAAGACATTTCTGTCTCCTCTTTAAACATTTTCTGTCAACAGCCACGTGCCAACAACTTGCTTTCATGCCGTACTAAGAGAGCACCAGCACTAGCCGTGGACATGTGGCAAACTCAGAAGAACACCATACAAGTTAATTTGTTAGATTATTAGGAATAGAAAGGCAAGTTATTAATGAGATTTAAAATCCTTAAATTAGATAGAATATTATAGATTTAATGTTGTTGGATTATGAATTATATTTGCTTAGATTAACAACTAAGGAATGGATAACTTAGAGTATCAATATCGTTGGTATGCTTTCTTAAAAGATAAAAAATAATAATATTTTAGTTTTGCAATTATATTCTAATATTTTAATATAGATAGATCAATGACAGAGCTATACGTGTTTTTAGTTTGTAAAAATGTCTCTTATCTAAGAGTTTTTAGATATTCTCTCTCTTCCTTCTCTTAACATTTTATTTTTTTTATTATTTTTATTGCTAAGAGTTATACTAAGAAACTAACATTAATGGTGCTCTTAGAATCTTTGATTGGCAAAGATGGTAGTTTTGCAAATATAATTTTTTTTTAGTTACTTTTAAAATAGAGATGTCAAAATGAGCTAACTCCGTCGATTCACTTAGTTCACTATCGCCGGATTTGTGACCAATATGTGGCTTTCGTTGCTAATATGTGGCAAGTTGGTAAAGGATATGCCGTGACCACTCTGTCCTTTCATTATATACTGTATAATATTTCTAGCCATCCCTACGTGGTTTTTCAAGTATTAGCTAGCCACGGATTTACTACTTTGGCTACGAAAATTTGACTTTTCCTTGTAGTACGAGAGTTGGAAAGAAGCATGGGGAAGATGGAAGAGGGAATTAACCATGATGTACCAGCCACATTGATGCAGTTTATGTATGTAAAGCTCGTCATGTTGTTGCCCATAAATTTAACCTTGTACCCAAAAAAAAAAATGTTGTTGCCCATAACATACGTATTACGTAACGCTTCCTCTTGAGGATTAGATCTCTTATAGCATTTTCATTTTTATTCGAAACCTTCTACGTGTTTTTGCTTCACCCCAATCACACGCACCTTTTTTCTGCATTTTATTTTTGTTATTTTAAACATACTAGAAAATGAGTTGGTGCTACAAAAATAGTATCCGAATCTTGAGTTTTTTTTTTTTTGTTTGCCGTGATTCAACTCTTAAATAATATTTCATTTCCGCAACGTAAATTTGGTAGTCCGATCAAACTATTGAGTTGGGGGCCGGTTTTTCTCTAGAAAATAAGATTTTCTTTTGACATACTATTCGTTCATTTAATTGGACTATATAATTCATAGTTTTATCGGGGATCATATTCATTGCACAGAAGTTTTTTTTTTTTTCCCTTATCATTACACGGGAGTTGGATAACTCATACATATATATCAGATGATGTATATATGTTCATTTTTGAATAGCAAAACCAATATTATTTTTGCCTTTCTTAAGGTTGAATTAGCTACGCAATTAGCCACTTTCTTATTAAACTGAAGATGCTGTTAGCTACGTGCCCAATTCTTGTGGAGAGATACTCTGTCCATATTGAAAACAATGGCAGTTGTAGTCTTGTAGACAAATTAAATATGGACAAGAAGAAATATGCACTGTTGTGCCTCCACCTCTGCATATATATATTTCTCAAGGTTAATTATCCAAATAAATGTAGAAAAAATGAAAACCCTTTGACAAAAAAAAATAAAAAAAATAAATAAATAAATGTAGAAAAAGTTAGAAACACAGTTTGCATGAACAATGTTGTGTTTAGAGATCTTTTTTATGTTCTTGTGTCACCCCAATCATGTATTTTTATACATTTTACTTTGATATTTTTACTGTTGATAGACAATACTAGAAAATGCTACAAAAATATATAATTCGGATCTTCCTTTTTAGTTTTTACCATAATTCAACTCTCTCATTTAATATTTTATTCCTAATCTTTTTTATTTAAAAAATTCATTGTTCCAGCTTCGGTTTGGTAGTCTGATCAAACTATTAAAATGTGGTTTTCACCTAGTAATTTAACGTCCGTCCTAGTCCTTGTTTGAAAAATCGCTAGGCGCTAGTCGGGCGCTCGGTATAGGCCTAGCGATTAATCGGAAAATCGGATTAAAATCGGGGATTAATCGGGGATTAGTTTTAGGGTTATTTTAATATTTTTAAAATATATTAATCCAATATTGTAAAAATTTATGATTTTTATTACAAATTTATGATTTTTATTAAAATTTGAACACAAGTTATTGTAAAACATCACAAACTCTCCGTTCAAATGATTGAATAACAAAAATAAAAAAAATTTTATACTTTCAATCTAAAAAATAATCGGGGTATATAAGATTAGGCGGGAAATAATCGGATTAGGCGGAGAATAATCGGGTTACTGATTTTTTAGGGGATTAGTCATTAATCGAGGCGGATAGGGTGGGCCTAGCGATTAAGCGGGGAGTAATCGGGGCTAGGCGGGGATTTTTAGAACAGGGGTCCTAGTAATATATAAATGATGATCACGAGCTTTTCTTTTGACATATTCTTCGGTCATTTAATGGTCCTGTGTTTTTATTCTTTTTTTTATGAAAAAAACTAGTGCAAGGTTCTGTTGTAAACACATAATGGACAAGAAGAAACAGTCCTACGTCGTCGTACATAATTTTTTATATTATTATAACAACAAAAGCAAACCAAACATTAAAACATAGGCATATGCATGTCATAAAGTCATTTCTAGAATGACACAGACTTATTTTATGTAAAATACACACACGAAGCACAAAAGATTTTTAGGTAAATTAACATGGGAAGTAACAGATACACTTATGAGCTGGGAAGACGTAGTTGCAAGATCCATGTCGTGCTCCTTCAAGGTTAATGCACTGATTTTTGCATGCGCCACTGTTTCCGCAAACTCCTGACCATGTCCCACTTGGCTTCTCGCACAACTTCTGTGCTTCCACAGTTGTTGGTGCTTCTGCATATGTGTACATCGCTCAAGATTAATTATCAAATAAATGAAATATTTAAAGCACAATTTGCATAGATATAATTAAGATCATTACTAACCAAATGCAGCAAAGAGAACCAGAGCAGCGACGATAAGGGTGATGATGGAAGCAAACTTAGCCATGATGATTATTACTACTTAGTTTTGTTTTCAATGTAGATATGTATGTGTTGTGTGAAGAAATAAGCTTGAGATCAACCTCTATTTATAATGAAATGATGGTGAGTTAATCTGCCACTTGTGCACCGTACAATAACTTGGTAACCCCACAAATTAATCACACCGCGACTTCTAGTAGCTAATATTGAAAGATAATATCTTGGATATTATTCATAGTTGATGGCTGGTTTCTACACCACATATTTTTCCCTGTCAATATCTAATGTAACCTAGGTGGCTGCTTTATTTTTGAGCTAATGCTACAACATGGGCAGCTGCTTAATCTGACTTGGTCAAAACTCAAGAAAATAAGTATATGAATATGGATATGTTAGAGATTTTCATAGTTAGGACAAGAACATCATGGTTCCGCAAAACCGTTGTCCCCTGATTTCGCCATCAGAAGGGGACGACTTTTTCGGAGGAACGGAGAGGACAGGGACTGAGAAATAACCTTAGTTGGCTATGGACAAACAAATTAAAACCATTGTTAGTAGTGGCTAAACTGAAAACCGAAGCGGAAATAAATACTGAAACCTTTGCTGGCAATGGTCTGAACGTAATGGGCTAAGTGAGGGGCTCACGGTAATTAAAAAAAAATTAACGGTGAATTTCATCAAAATTTGGTGGATTAGCTGGCTTAAGGTCTAATTCGTACATTTGTAACAAAAGAGTTTGGTAAAATAACTACAAAATTAATAACTGATGAAACAAATATCATTAAGGACAACCTGAAAGATTATAAGAGATCAAAATTAAAATATCTCTATATATTACATATATATATATATATAAACTATTTATTTTAAAATCTTAGGAAATTCAGATTTTTTCTAGGATTTTTTTTTGGAGGATTGATTTGAAGATTTTGGATTTAAGGTGCAACTTTTTGAATTTAGGATTTAGAAATTTTTTTAATTAATCTCAAAATTCGTATTAAGATCTTAATTTTAAGAGCATGTTTAGTGGGAGTCTCTCATTTAATCTCTCATAAAAAAAAAATTATAAAATAACAAAAAAGTAGGAAAGAGAATGAAGTGAGTTTCTCAAATAAAAGATTTTGAGAATTTTTGTATAGACCGTTCTCATTTGACACATGTTTCAACATCATTGATTATAAATTTTATGCATAGTTTAAATTTTAAATTAAAAAATAAATTACTTAAAAGTCATTAAAATACTATATTTGAGAGATTAAGAGAAATTCTCCCCACTACACATGCTCTAAAAATCCCGGATGCAGTCTTTACACTATCTTCTATGGGAATATCCTTTTTCCCAAGTGAACTGGAAGCATGAATATCTTTATCAGTGTTTTTGTTCTCTTTCATTAGGCCTAAGCACTTGATTAGGATTCATGATTATAAATTTTGAATTTAAGATACATCGTCTTCTATATGAACATCGTACAATCACCTGGTAACTAGTAACCCCACAAAGTAAACACACAGTGTCTTCTAGTAACTAACAATATTAAAAGATAAGATAAGATCATCTTGGTTGATGGCTGGTTTCTCCACCACATATATTTCCCAATGGGAAGGCTGCTTCTCTATCTAATGTAACCTAAGTGGCTAGCTGCTTTGGCTTTTTGAGTCAAGTGTTATATCGTTCACATAGGCGGCTAATTAATTTGACTTAGTCAAGAGGTTTAAACGCAGTGGCGGATCTACGGCATGAGTAGGGTGGACACGTGTCTTGCACTCTTTTTTTTTTAAGTAATTTTGATTGTTATAACTACAATACACCACGTTATTATATAAAGAAAACATTAAAAATGTCTTATTAGCCAACTAAAAAAAGCAAAGGTCTTCTTAGACTGCATAAATGCTAAATGAAAACGTTAGTTAAGACTTATGAGATATTAGGTATCGTCGAGCCAAACAAATTTTAAACCATTGTTTAGTTTATTTTGTTAAAAACATATGTTTTCAAAATGATAAATGAAATAGTAGTGAAAAATTTTCAAAATATAGAAAAAAATAAGATAAATTTATAAAAAATGAAACAAAATATTGATGTAAAAAATTGTACCCCGGACTAAAATAAGTTCTGGATACGGTTCAATGTTTGGAAGGAAGAAGACGTGAAAAAATGAACCATGAATCATAATGCATCTCGCGACACTGGTCATTTTTGTAAAGGTCGTTCACATTTTCTATAACATTCTTGACACTTCCGTTTGAAATTTAAATCTCCTATTTTATTTCATTTTGATCGGAAACTTTTATAGTGATTAACTTCCACGCACAAAAAAGGGTATCTGAAATTGAACCTTATATATACAGTGCCAGCCCTGTGAAATATGAGGTCCCATACAAATTTTTTTGGATGAGTTTTATAGAAAAAACTAAAACTTGAGACCAAATCCTAAAATTTTAGGAAAATGGGGCCTCGTTTTGCAATAACAAATAGATAAAATTTAAAAGTTGAAACTAAATCTGAAAATTTCAGAAAAAATGAAGCATATTATTTGCAATAACTAATAATTTTGAGGCCTAAATTTGATACTAAAAAATTTTAAAATTCTGGAGGTCCAATACATTTGTTTCTTAGAAATCTGTGGCGGGCCGGGCCTGTATATATATATAGAATGCTAGTGACAGAAATAAATTATGGAAGAATCCGCAACTTTCTAAACAAATCTTCTACAAAAATTTAACTTCTATTCGTGTATAAATAATTGTGTTGAACAATCTTGCAGAAAAAATCGTAAATCGACGTTGTATGAGAGTTTGGCGGAAAGAGTAGGCTTGGAGAACAGATGGATATCAGGATATGTCTTGAATTTTTGTTTTATATTTATATGAACGTTCTTAATTAGTTCTTACGAGCATGAGAATAGAGCTGAAAGAGGGAATTATTGTTACTAATTGATTTTGGTCATTTGCTTGAGTCGCAAGGAAAAAAAAAATCTAATACTCATGTGTTTAATAATGCTCACAACTCGTAAGAAAATAACCGGGTTGGGTTTGAGTCTTTGGAATAATGGATTAGCATTGGGCTCGCTGATCCAATGTTTCAAATGGGTAAGTGATGTTGACGCCAACGTAACTGAAGGCCCAACGAACAAAAGAACTAGAGATTTTTCTTTTTTTCCCGACATTTTAAAGAAATGCTTGATGAACAAAAAAGGTATTGCTCTAACAAAGTAGTGGATGGGAAAGAAAGAAAAAAAAAAAACTAATATTCTGATTTGGTTTAGATGTGTAACTTGTGCTGCCTTATCATAAGATCTAAAAAATTTAGATCTCAGACGTACGATGGAAGAAAAAGTGAAAGGTGATTTAAGGGTCATTTGGGATTGAAAAGTTTCTTCATCAAAAATCATTGCATGAGTTGAATGGATTTGGGATTAAAGCTGCCAATTGAGACAAGGGGATTCGGTAATGAGTGAAGCAAAAGCCCAGCTGGGCCATTACCAGTTTCCAAGACAGATAGTGTAAGACCACTTATGACACAACTTTGTCTTCACTATCATCATCTTCTACTTCTACTACTACTTTTGTAGCCTTGTCGTTTTTATCATTAACGTGATTGACATGACTATGAGCTATATACGTTATCAATGCTCTCTATTTGTTTCTTTTTTATTTCTACTTTTTAATGGTTTTTTTATCTCTAACTAAACAATATGGTTAGTGCGTGAAACAATATGGTTTTTTTATATGTGAAGTGAAAGTGAAACAAACATAATAGAAGTAAAAGGGGAAAAATGTCATTTAATAGCCCAACTTTTAAATTGTGGCCGTTCTCTACACCAACTTTATATATGGCCATTTTAAACATGAAGATATCGTTGACCAACTGTTTGAACTATGAACATTCTGTTGACCAGGCCAAAAAAACTAACCGTTACCAATCGTTAACAGATTATCTAACATCCGTTAACACTTCCGTTAACCATCCCAAAACGACGCCGTTTTTGTCTTTTTAAAAAAAAATTACAAACATGGGATTCGAACCTCTTACCTTTGAGAAAAACCAAAGGTTACTTAACCACCTCACCTGTACAATTTTATTGGTAATTCTACATAAACACATGCACTTATATATTCTTAGAGCTCTTCTTCTTCATTTTTAACGAAACAAAACATCTCCATAGTAAAGCTTGCATTGAAGAACACCTCCGATTTTGAACACTTCGAGGTTTTTGATGAAGCTTGCATAACCGGTAGAACTCCATGGAAGGCATTGTTAGCTAGATTCAAGTGTGTGAGATACTTAACCTTGGAGATGAATCTTGGAACGGTGCCGTTTAGTTGGTTTCCACTCAGATCTAAGTGTGTAAGCTCTTGAATTGAGGAGATTGAATCTGGGATTGGTCCTGATACCTTTTTGAATGATAAAGATAGGTATTCTAGTGATATTAGGTCGTCGATTGAATCAGGTATGTCGCCGGAGATAGAGTTTTTGGATAAATTTAGAGACTTTAGGTTTGAGAACAGAGTAATGGAAGTGTGTATTGAGCCTTTGAGTAGATTGTCAGATAAATCGATGAAAGTGAGATTTGAGTGGAAAGATTTTGGGATGATTCCGGAGAGATTTGCGTGAGAGATTGTCAAAGAGACGATCTTGTTCATGTTTCCGATGATAACGAAGAGACCAGAGGTTGAGAAGGGAACAGAGGAGACTGTGAGGTCAGTGAGGTTAACGAGACGAGCTACGAAGACTCCGGAGAGGCCATTACGACGGCGGTTAAAGATGTTTGTTTCGAAGGTTGAAGATGAAGAAGAAGAGCTCTAAGAATATATAAGTATATGAATTTTTGTATAAATACCAATAAAACGCTACAGGTGAGGTGGTTAAGTAACCTTTGGTTTTTCTCAAAGGTAAGAGGTTCGAATCCTAGGTTTGTAAATTTTTTAAAAAAGACAAAAACGACGTCGTTTTGGGGTGGTTAACGGAGGTGTTAACGGATGTTAGATAATCTGTTAACGATTGGTAACGGTTAGTTTTTTTGGCCTGGTCAACGGAATGTTCATGGTTCAAACGGTTGGTCAACGATATCTTCATGTTTAAAATGGCCATATATGAAGTTGGTGTAGAGAACGGCCACAATTTGAAAGTTGGGCTATTAAATGACATTTTTCCCGAAATAAAAGTATTATTCTTATGCTAAACTATACTATTGGTTAGTAGAGTGTGTATACACATTATCTAAGCAATTGGTGCATCTGTATATAAAAACTTAATGAATTTAAATTTCTTTCTTCTTTTTAATAACTACTAGTATATGAATGGGGTCACTAACTTTCTAAACAGTTCCAAAATTATTCTTCAATCAAACTGCATATGATTTTAAAATTGTTTGATACGAGTTTATTATAAATTTATAACATAAACCACTTCCAAGCGACAGAGAAGAATAAGCATATGATGCAAATTGTACTATGGCATGTGCAAATCCAAAATGTCTTGTGAAATTGAACATCTGAACCAAGCTTCTATAGTTTTATTTCTTTTAGTAAAATTTAATTTCTAACAAATTTATTGATATCCATTTAAAAGTTCTTTCACGGCCAGAGTCATTTCGTGATCAAGATGACATTAGTTTTGGTGATAAATGTTCCATCTTTGCTATGTCGTTATATTATATATTCTCTGTATGTATATTATATACATCAGAAAATAATCCAAAGTTTAGAGATTCCTTTCTACAATAAAAAAATTTCCCACTTACTAAAAAGAGCTCCTTTTCTGCTGAAGAGAACCTAAAACCTTTATTCCCTAAGTTAATTGAGTTTGAGCATTTTCAGCGAATCATAGTAGATATGCTTCTCTTTTTCATCACAAATTGACATCTCATTGTTTAAAGGTTGTACCGGTTGATCTGATTCTCAATTCACTTAAAACCGGCTAATAGTCGTTTAACAAAGACACGTGAAAATGAAAGCACATTTATTTGTTGTTAGGTATGTGTGTACTTTTTCAGCGTTTGCTTCTTAATCTAATGTAATATCATAATTCATAAGATAATATCTAAAACAAAATGCACAAAAAAATTATTAAAATGAGAAATTCGCTGCCATTTATAAATTGGACCTTTATGCCGCATATATATAGAACATTGGTCCCCAAGTGTATTTGTGTGTATGTCAACCCCAAGTGTATAGATTTCTTAAAAGATTAAAGTCCCTTTTTGTTGCTAAAGCACCTGATATTTTATCAAATTATAAATTGTTAGCGTGATGAAGATATATATTCGCCAAGAAGTGAACCATAGTGCTTGTATAACAGCAGACCAATAAGTCACAGTTATTATTATTTATTGTTAGAATCGATCTTGTAAAAACTGGTTTAAATTATAGCATGCATATTTATAATCAAGAAAGATTCACTTATATAAGTTAGGCATATTATCATCCGGCCTAATTCGTTAACTTGTAGTTGATCAATGCTATATTTTGCTATTCGTTTTGCCAGCCATTAACAACAAATGGAAATAATAAAAAGTCTGATTGGTAATACAAAATTGTACCAATTTTTTAGGTATGAACTGGAGCTCTAAGTTTTTACGGAATAGTTTTAAACGAATATGATTGGTTATTTATAGGTGTTGCCGGTTGCAATTAATTTGATCGGTTCGGCCTAATCAAGATCAATTCTCAAATGGACCGAAGTGGATAAGTCCCTAATGTTTTCAAGAGACGCATAATTCTCAACTATCAAAAGAACGGTAATATGAACAGAGTCGTGGGGACCTAGAAGCAGAAGGTCTGTATACTGACCGGTGAGTGAGTGTATGAATGTGAAAGTGAGAAGACAAAAAACAAGAAAGAGCGTTGACTTGGCAGTTAAAAGCCAAAAAAAAAACACAAGGGCAAATTTGTCTCTTTTGGAAAAGGACAGATACAAACTTTATATACGGGCCAATTAGAAAAATAGGCCCTACTTCTAATTAAAGCCCATTTACTTCTCTCTTTGTCTTCTTTTTCCTCTTTTTCCCATCACGTGACGACGATGCAACAAAACGCCGTCGGATTATATAACTGGTGCCGTTGACAAGACGGCGACAGAAGAAAAAAAGAAAAGAAAAAGAAGAAACCACAGCCTCTAGGGAACGTAACGTTATGTCCTGTCTATAGCATTTATTATAACGGTCAAATCAACGCCGTTTAGATTAACAGCCGTTGATGTTAAAGGACACCGTTAAATTCGAAACGCCGTGAACCTCTTATGTATTGATTTTTTTTTATGAAGACAAAAAAAATGGTGTCAGAAGACTTATCAGAGAAGAAGAAAACGACGACGTTTCCGTGTTTCCATGTCTAATAAGTGTAGTAGTGGCGGCTACTAAAAACTGTAAAGTTTTTTTTTTTTTTTGTCAATCAAAGAAAAACTTAAAAAAAAAAAACTGTAAAGTTTATTTCCAGTAAAAGTGCCTTTTAAGAGTAATTCCAGTGGTTTTTTTGAATTTGAATAGTGTGACCAAATTTGAAGTACAACAATCGCAGCAAATATTATTGATCACTCGTTATAAAAGAATCGAACATGAAAGAAGCCAATGAGAGGCTGACACGTATGTTTGACCACAAGTCGTAGTTCGTAATAATATACCTGCAGATGTTCTATATAAGTCGAATTGTACTTGCCTTAACTTTTAGTTTCACAAATGATAAATCTACTTAGACAATAACCACACCAAAATTTACAAGATAATTTGAAAAAATAAACACTAAGATTTTTATTTTGGCGCATTATATTTTTATAATAACAATATATATGTAAAGTCACATAAAAGTATTTATTCTCTCACAAAGTCTTACGGTATTTAGAACAGTACCAAATCGATTCTCTTCATCTTCCTCTTCATAATATGCCATTGTTGATGTCTCTGTGTCTTATCGCATAACACTCACGCTAACTTATTATTCTCCATCTCTCTTTCTCTCTGAAAGGACATCTTAAAAAAAAAATGGCGTTGAGACTTTTGAAGACTCATCTTCTGTTTTTGCATCTGTATCTATTTTTCTCACTATGTTTCGCTAACACTGACATGGAAGTTCTCCTCAATCTCAAATCCTCTATGATTGGTCCTAATGGCACCGGTCTCCACGACTGGATTCCTTCCTCTTCTCCGGCAGCTCACTGTTCTTTCTCCGGTGTTTCATGTGACGGCGATGCTCGTGTTATCTCTCTCAACGTCTCCTTTACTCCTTTGTTTGGTACTATCTCACCGGAGATTGGGATGTTGAATCGTTTGGTGAATCTAACTTTAGCTGCCAATAATTTCTCCGGTGCATTACCATTGGAGATGAAGAGTCTAACTTCTCTCAAGGTTTTGAATATCTCCAACAATGGAAACCTTAATGGAAGCTTCCCTGGAGAGATTGTTAAAGCTATGGTTGATCTTGAAGTTCTTGACGCTTATAACAACGGTTTCACCGGTACGTTACCACCGGAGATTCCAGAGCTTAAGAAGCTCAAACACCTCTCCCTCGGTGGGAATTTCTTCAACGGAGAGATTCCAGAGAGTTACGGAGATATCCAAAGCTTAGAGTATCTTGGTCTCAACGGCGCTGGAATCTCCGGTAAATCTCCGGCGTTTCTATCTCGGCTCAAGAACCTAAAGGAAATGTATATAGGCTACTACAACAGCTACACCGGCGGTATTCCACCGGAGTTCGGCGGTTTAACAAAGCTTGAGATACTCGACATGGCTAGTTGTACTCTCACCGGAGAGATTCCGACGAGTTTAAGTAATCTGAAACATTTACATACTCTGTTTCTTCATGTCAACAACTTAACCGGTCATATACCACCGGAGCTTTCCGGTTTAGTCAGCTTGAAATCTCTCGATTTGTCAATCAACCAGTTAACCGGAGAAATTCCTCAAAGCTTCATCGATCTCGGAAACATCACTCTAATCAATCTCTTCCGGAACAATCTCTACGGACAAATACCAGACTGCATCGGAGAATTACCAAAGCTCGAAGTCTTTGAAGTGTGGGAGAACAACTTCACGTTACAATTACCGGCGAATCTTGGCCGGAACGGGAATCTGATAAAGCTCGATGTATCTCATAATCATCTCACCGGACTTATCCCCATGGATTTGTGCAGAGGTGAGAAATTGGAGATGTTGATTCTCACTAATAACTTCTTCTTTGGTCCGATTCCAGAAGAGCTTGGTAAATGCAAGTCGCTAAACAAAATCAGAATCGTTAAGAATCTTCTCAACGGAACTGTTCCGGCTGGGCTTTTCAATCTACCGTTAGTTACGATGATCGAACTCACTGATAATTTCTTCTCCGGTGAACTTCCGGCAACGATGTCCGGCGATGTTCTCGATCAGATTTACCTCTCAAACAACTGGTTTTCCGGCGAGATTCCACCTGCAATCGGTAATTTCCCCAATTTACAGACTCTGTTCTTAGATCGGAACCGATTTCGCGGGAATTTACCGAGAGAAATCTTCGAATTGAAGCATTTATCGAAGATCAACACAAGTGCCAACAACATCACCGGCGTTATTCCAGATTCAATCTCTCGCTGCACTACTTTGATCTCCGTCGATCTCAGCCGTAACCGAATCACCGGAGAAATCCCTGAAGATATCAACAACGTGATTAACTTAGGAACTCTTAATCTCTCCGGCAACCAACTCACCGGTTCAATCCCTACCAGAATCGGAAACATGACCAGTTTAACAACTCTCGATCTCTCTTTCAACGATCTCTCCGGAAGAGTACCACTCGGTGGTCAATTCATGGTGTTCAACGAAACTTCCTTCGCCGGAAACACTTACCTCTGTCTCCCTCACCGCGTCTCATGTCCAACACGGCCAGGACAAACCTCCGATCACAACCACACGGCGTTATTCTCACCGTCGAGGATTGTACTCACGGTTATCGCAGCGATCACAGCTTTGATCTTAATCAGTGTAGCGATTCGTCAGATGAAGAAGAAGAAGAACCAGAAATCTCTCGCCTGGAAACTAACCGCCTTCCAGAAACTAGATTTCAAATCCGAAGACGTTCTCGAGTGTCTTAAAGAAGAGAACATAATCGGCAAAGGCGGAGCCGGAATCGTCTACCGTGGATCCATGCCAAACAACGTAGACGTCGCGATCAAACGACTCGTTGGCCGTGGAACCGGGAGGAGCGATCATGGATTCACGGCGGAGATTCAAACTTTGGGAAGAATCCGCCACCGTCACATAGTGAGACTTCTTGGTTACGTAGCGAACAAGGATACGAATCTTCTTCTCTATGAGTACATGCCTAACGGAAGCCTTGGAGAGCTTTTGCATGGATCTAAAGGAGGTCATCTTCAATGGGAGACGAGACATAGAGTAGCCGTGGAAGCTGCAAAGGGCTTGTGTTATCTTCATCATGACTGTTCACCATTGATCTTGCATAGAGATGTTAAGTCCAATAACATTCTTTTGGACTCTGATTTTGAAGCCCATGTTGCTGATTTTGGGCTTGCTAAGTTCTTAGTGGATGGTGCTGCTTCTGAGTGTATGTCTTCAATTGCTGGATCTTATGGATACATCGCCCCAGGTTAGTTACTACATTTGGATTGTAACATTAGTACGAACCAAAATGTTATATGTTCTGATTATCATTTTGTTTTTGGTTTGAATAGAGTATGCATATACCTTGAAAGTGGACGAGAAGAGTGATGTGTATAGTTTCGGAGTGGTTTTGTTGGAGTTAATAGCTGGGAAGAAACCTGTTGGTGAATTTGGAGAAGGAGTGGATATAGTTAGGTGGGTGAGGAACACGGAAGAGGAGATAACTCAGCCGTCGGATGCTGCTATTGTTGTTGCGATCGTTGACCCGAGGTTGACTGGTTACCCATTGACCAGTGTGATTCATGTGTTCAAGATAGCAATGATGTGTGTGGAGGATGAAGCTGCGGCAAGGCCTACGATGAGGGAAGTCGTGCACATGCTCACTAACCCTCCTAAATCCGTGGCTAACTTGATCGCGTTCTGACCAAAGCAAAAGATAAAATGAAAATAAGATGTGTAATGTGGTGATAATTTTTTTGGGTGTTCCTATTTATGGTTTCAAATACTTTCGGGTTGTATATTTGCTGTGTTTCAATTTGTATATTACCTCTTATGTGTTCTTATCTTCTCGAGTATGAGAGAGATGTAATCAATATGCTTATTGCTAATGGCTTTAAACTTTAGCTAATTCTCCTTTCAGAGTGTATAAAATAAAAAGAATGTGAGAGCTTTGACCTCTGGTTCCAACACTAGACTATTTACAATAATCCATTCCTATGTGAATTACGGTCTTGTCTAAATTCATGTTTGTGCTAGCTTCCATCATGGAGTCATGTTGCACTTCTTGACCTTATTATCTGCAAAGTACTTACCCTGCATATGTATAATGACCAGTTTTATTGAGTTCTTGGTGGTCATTCACTTCTCAACACTTTAAGATGTAAATCTAATCATATTTTTTACGACCAAAGAGACTCACCTCAGGGCCATAAACCGAACATTGTTGTCTCTACTCTTGGAGCATAACACACAAATTAAGAAACCGAAAAACCACAGAAACCAAACACCAAAAAGGATGTCAGCGATAAATTCATCCTGTATAATGTATTTTCCACAAGAGCAAATAAACCTGTTGGAGATGAGGATGATGCTGTGAAGCCAACTCTATACATAACTCTCACCTCCATTGATGGCCATTTAAAAAAAAAAAATGAATGTGATGTATTGCAACTCACTTGCAGTGTGTGAGAAGAAGACAAGGCACAGAACAGAGTCACAACGTAAAATCCAAGGGAGATCTACTCCACTTTTTTCTGCTCACATAACAATCTTCATTGCTAGATTCTACCCAAATCCAATATGACATCTAAATTACAAAGCATTTCAGGTTTCAAAAAAATCTTCATTACTCAAATAAGTCTCTTCATTAAGAATCCTATACAATTTCAACCCACAATCTTGATTCACTGGAAAGACTGAGTTTCGCCAAGCAGTTTCAACACTCAAATCAAATAACACTGCAGCTCTTGAATTCAAAATCGATTCTATTAAGAAAACAAGAACATCTATAATCATCATCATCACTATCAAATTTTACAACATATCAATACAAAGAAACTTTCCAACTTACAAGAAGAAGAACACCATTACCCTATTCCTCATCAAATCTATTATACAGAAAATTTATGAGAAATTTATACCAAATACATGTTATCTACTTCACTTGCATTTTTTTTTCAACAAAGGGAAAACAAAAAAAAAAAGTCAAAAAAGGGAAACTTCAAGATTATATACTTAGAAAGCACCGTAGGGTATATGTTGTGGAAGCCTAAATCGAACCTGTGAAGCCGGAGACCGAACAGCAACGCCGTGCCAGCAAATCCCTCCTTTACAAATTGCACCACCGTCGTGATGGTGACGGTGGTGGCTAAGATCCTCCTCACCACCAACGCGATTGTACCGCGAAACCGCATCCGCTGCTCTACGAGACACATCCCAAGCAAGCGTAACCGCAAGCAAAACACCGACCGCCGTAATCGAAACGACGACGACGAATCCAGCGCTGAAACTCCTCCCGGTGATTAATCCGTAGGCTTTAATCGCGATAATCACCGCCACGTAGATCGTCGCGAGATTACCGAGAACCGCGTCGGATAACGCCATGAGACACATAGAGATAGGACTTTCTTTTTCTTCTCCGTCGTCGTGAAAATTCGTTGCGGTGGAAGAAGCTTTAACAGAATAGTGGAGAACAGCGAATTGTGATGGATGTTGAAAACTCCAAAGGGAAGGATATTTTTAAAATTACTAAAATACCCTTGATAAGATCTTTTGCTTCTTCTCTAATCTACATGACTCATCATCACTAATGCGAGAAGAGTTTGGTAAAAAAATACCCTTCGCGTAAAATGACACCGTTTCTTGATTTGGTCAGACTTGCCACGCACTACATTTATGGGTGTATGACATTCTTACGCATGTCGTTGTCAAGGACTCAAGCGGCTCTATTCCATTTATGTCTGTGGTCAAATCTTGATCGTCGTACTCAAAAATAAATGCTCTTTGGACTTAGTAATTGTTCTAACGGGCCTCTAAAATCAATAATGGACTCCAGTTTTAGACCCATCTTGATAATAAGTTTTCTTCTAATTTGATTAGTGTTTCCTAACTATGAGAGATGAAGAAGGCATGTCTTCATCATATTCCATGATGGCTTTATGCTTATGATATTTTCGTCAAATCATATGCAGTGAAATAGACACTTGGTTTATATTTATAGGTTTACTCCCACTATAAATCAAAGGCATCATCATCAACTCTCAACCTTAATTTATATTATCTATTTAATCTTTTTTTCAGCTAGTGGTATCACTATTAATTAATGTTTTGGTCCATTTACTTTTGAAACCTATAATAGAGAATTTTGTATCGCTCTCATATGCGCTTGTAAAGTCAATTTATTATTAAATACAGTGGTTGAGACAAGACCAACAAATGTATAATAGTGTTATTCATTTCAATGTTCCGAATGGCCACCACAGCATCATCAGACAACAAACAAATGAAATATTCCCCCAATTGTTTCCAATATATATAGATTTTAACACTCTTCTAATCCTAGTTACATTAAAAATCAAATAAATATTCCCATCTTTTATGAACTCCACCCAGCAGCCCACTTTCTTTCCCACGTGTTCCTCACCCAAAATAAGAATTCTCCCATGAATGAAGGGTATTTTCGTCAATCTCGGGTGTTGTTAACCTTTTTTCTCAACTCTGACTCAATCCGACGTCGTTCGGAAGTAAAAAGGTCACATGGGCCGGAACGAGATAAGGCTTTAGTCAGTGAGGGCCCACATAGTCTTGATTTTACGCGGGAGACAAAGTTAGGTGTCAAAAGAGCCGCCACATCCGACAAAAGGCCAGCGCAAGTGTGACTGTGATTCCACATAACGAAAGATGACACGTGGACGGTGTTCCTTTGCTCTGATCCAAAGCTCCTTCGTATATCATCGATGTATCTACCGGTGACCACGTCGCACTACTATCTCCGGCAGGAGTTGTCGACGATGTTCCCGGTGGTGTCGTCTGTTTCGGATCTGAGCTCTGATCTTGAGATGATTTCTGACTACAAAACAAAAAAATCATAGCCGTTAAGTAATGTGTACAAGTTTCTGCCACGCGTCTCCTCTAGATTAGAGATGATTTTTTTTTTTTTTTTTGTCAAACAGATTAGAGATGATAATGAGGAAAATATCTCAATGAGCCGTTAAAGATGCACATCCCAATAAATCTATCTCTACTCGAGGATAAAATTGGGACTATCAAAAATTTGGCAAGAAAAGAGAAAAATCGTAATAAACACACATTTCTTTTTGCAGCATAAAGCAAAATCCTACAGTAATTATTTCTAGGAGTTACTTCGATTACAAGGTAAGCAAAAAAAGGTAATTAATGGTTAGTAAATATGTTGTCTGCTGTAATTGACAAAAATACCCTCAATAGCGTTTTCTCTCACCAAACCATAGTCATAAACTACAATTCATGATTTCATGCTAATTTAGTGCGACAGTGAAGAAGATAGATCCGTTGTATATTAACGAAACTACCCTCCCTAATCAAAGCATGGTAATAGTAACAAAAGGGTATAAATGGAATTATCACCTGGTGTTAGGAGTTGGGCAAAACGTGATAACGTAATTAGGAGATTTGGCACATGTGAAGGTACTACTCTGATCATCGTAAGCGTAGCTGTAAGCACGTGGACACGCGGTTTTAAACATCAAAGAATACGACGACGGTTTACACGTGTCAGGTGTACCGTACGCGCCGCTGCAACAATACTCCGGCGTACGAAAAGCTTCACACGCGCTTTTACATCCCATAGATAGTTTACCTCCGCCGTCTAAACTCGTCACTTTAAGCTCCGACGGACACGAACCGTTCAGATCTACAACGCATCCGGTGCTGCTACAGTTTAAACCAGAGCCACCTTGTGGAGCCACTAGCATCGGGACGTTGTAACCGTCGACGAGACTTACGTCGTAGAAATCGAGACCATTAGATCCGTCGAGTGTGAATTCCGCTAGTGTTGCTGGTGGTGCTGCTCCGGATCCGGAGCATTCGATGGTTCCGGATCCGCAATCTCCGGTGAGGCAAGTGAATTTTCCGTCGGTGTCGGCGGAGCATTGAGTTCTTCCCCAGAATCTTCCTCCCCATGAAGTTGGAGCGTTAATTGTTCGTTCTTCGCCTTTTTGAAGTACGAATCCGGTCGTCGGAAGTGGTGGAACTCCGGCGTTTGATAAAAGTCCAGGCCACACTGTGTATTCGCATTTGTTCACCATTATGAAGCTCGTAGATCTAACTCCTGTTTATAAAACCACAAATCATCAGAATCAAAGTTATAATCATTACTTAAGTTTATTCGTAAGAATCGGAGAAGATTCGTACCAGAAACGAACAAATTAGAGAAGATAAGGAAGATCAATGGCAACGGAAGAGCCATTGAATTGGAGAAGAAGAAGAATATGAAGATTTTTAATGCTCTGTTTCTTCTTCGTCTTCTTCTTCTTTATTTTTAATATTTATGAAACAGAGACTCGAAGACGATTCTGAGAGCGAAAGATGGATGAAGAAGAGGATGGATGATTTATAGAGGAGGCCTTTTTTCTCTGTTGGTAAGAATCTGGTGTATGTGTTGGCTGGTAGCTTATGGTACACCGGCTTACGTGGATACACTTAATTGGATCAGATATTTTTAACCGTTGAGATTAAGAAAAGCATTTGATGATTTTATATAGTAAATCTTGTACTTTAATCGGTTCATGATTAGAACTATACCATACTCCCTCTGTTCCTAGATATTTGATATTCTACAGTTTTAGTTTGTTCCACAAAGTTTGATTTTTTAAGTTTTTGTTTTATTTTTTATTGATTAAAATTAATATATCGTAAACTTTAAGATATAATGATTAACTGTTTTCTAATACTATTGGTTCAAAGTTATTAAAAAATATTTAGTATAAAAAAGTAATTGACAAATAATTAAACAATAATTGTTTCTTAATATATGTGAAAACTCTAGAACATCAATCTTTTAAGAACAGAGGGAGTAGTCGATAATGGGTTAGTCTGGTTTGGAAATAGTTAAATTACCACTAATTGTTCTTCGAGTTTGATTGATAATTTTCAACGAAAATATCCAATTAACTTTTGACGTTCACTTTTAATTCAAAATATCTACAAAACGTAAAGTAGATCTTTATTTTTCAAGATTCTTTTAACTTTCCTGTTTGATTACGCGATTAAGGATTTGTAACCACGTAGACGTGCAAAACAAAATTACTTTTTTTTTTTGTGCAACAAATTACTTTTTATCTATGAATTATAGTAAATATTCAATTGAGATTCCGATGCAACGTTGTTGTTTTCATCTAACAATAAGAAGTGTCTAGTACAAAATGAATGATGACGAGCTTCAAAAGTCCAAAACCATATAATTTATAAAATTATCATTTCAATTTCAGAACAAGTGAACAACTAGGTACGATTAGTGGACGTTTCAACGTCTTCATGATAATCGCGGGCCATGTAAATTATATTGGAGGAAAAAAAAAATATATTGGAGGATCCATATAATATCTTGGCTATATAAAATTATTGTATTTGTCCAATATAATATCTCTGCGTTTGATTGATCAATTGCAACGATATATTCCCAAAAATAAATAATGAGTTTGTTTTGACAGTTACCAATCACAAAAAAAACTTTATCAAAAGCATTATTAACAGTTTTACTTTCAACTTTTTGTATAGTTTTTTTGTACAGCTCTTTCATACAGCTTTGTATTATTCCGGTAAAGCTTAGAGCATCTCCATCAGTAAACATGATAGGAGTTTCTAAAAAAATAAAAAAATAATACTATTTAATTAAATTATTTATTTTTTATTACTTTTTAATAATTTAACCAATACATTTGTGACATATGTGCAGAAACTGTGTCTCAGAGTTTCTGGGCAGAGAAACTGTGTCTCTCTCTTCATTTATGACCTTTTTTATTAATAAATAGTGGCTAGACACTCTCCTTCATTTTACCGATGGAAGTGTTCTTACAGCTCTAGCTAACAACTAAAAAATTTATACAGCTTTTAGTTACCAATCAGATCATTTTACTTATATATACATTGTACATTTCTGTATTCTCAAAATTATCTCTATGTTAGATATTTTGTTGTGAAAAGTGTAAATGTTGTTGTTACTTTTTACTGTTTTTTTAAGTAAGTGGTTTGAACTGTGAAAGATAAAAGAAGATGATATCAAAGTGATTAATAATTTTTCAATAATTGCTTTGCGTTATTTTATTTTGTAGGACTAAATAGCGACCATTTCTGTAATTTTGTATAAGCCAGGTCACATCAACTTTACAATATATCGTAAGCCATCGTCTTCGTCTTCCCTGACGTTTTTTTTTTCGTCCGTCACAATACAAATAATTAGATACGATAAAATACTTAATGGGCCTTTATGCATGGTTTAGTATAATTAACAAACTTTTAACAAAAGCACAAATGTGCTGCCCATAAATTAGGTTGGAAATGCAGATTGCATGAACTTTCGACATATTCATTATTCATAGCACAAAATATGTAAGCTTTATCTCCAACAGTAAGAGTAATTAACATCAAATTAATGTAGCTACTTCTCGCTTCTATCACTTCTTGTTCACAACACAATCATCTCAAAATTTCTTCATCAATCTATATACATTTTCATAAATCACTCTTTCGCGATGAGGCATGTCTTTGTCGAGGTGGTTGTTCTGATATCTTTGGTTATCTTGGAGTTGAGCTATGCGTTTGCACCAATCGTATCGTATCAATGGGTCGTCTCTTATTCTCAACGTTTCATTCTTGGAGGCAACAAGCAGGTAACTACAGATGAATTGCTTATATTTTTATATGTTAGAATAATATGGTTTAATTATCATATATGAAATAATAGATGCATGATCAATCTATAGGTTATAGTGATCAACGACATGTTTCCTGGACCGATGCTTAATGCAACAGCAAACGATGTCATAATCGTTAACATTTTCAACAATTTGCACGAACCCTTTCTCATGACCTGGTAAATATTTGACACATTAATTATGTAATTTTTTTTTGATTTGGGTTTATTTTAGTCACAGCTGATATTAAACCTATATACAACATAAAGGAATGGCTTGCAATTGCGGAAGAACTCGTGGCAAGATGGAGTTCGAGGGACAAACTGTCCCATACTACCGGGAACAAATTGGACGTACCGTTTTCAGGTGAAGGATCAGATTGGAAGTTACTTTTACTTTCCATCGCTTCTACTCCAGAAAGCGGCCGGAGGATACGGTGCTATTAGAATCTATACCCCAGAACTTGTCCCGGTTCCATTCCCTAAGCCCGATGAAGAATACGACATCTTGATTGGAGATTGGTTCTATGCCGACCATACAGTAAGTTTCTTTTATATTTTACCTTATATATTATTATCAAACTTACAATCCAATATTATCTTTTTTATAAATAAAATGTTGTAGATTTTAACAAACAAACTATATTAGAATTGAAAATAGATTTGCTTTGTTATTGAGTTTTATCTTGCATTATTGCATATTTATTGAATGCATGTGTTTTAGTTAGCTTCATTCTAAAAGATGTTTTGCTTGATTTAATTTGCATAACACTGGTAACTTGGTTTCCAAATGATTTGATGTAAGGTTATGAGAGCTTCACTTGACACTGGTCACAGCTTGCCAAAGCCTGATGGTATTCTTTTTAACGGGCGTGGACCTGAAGAGACCTTCTTTGCATTTGAACCAGGTGAGTTTTTTTTTTTTCTTCTTTTAATATATTACATTGTATCTTTAATAATGTAATTACACACAAATGTTCGGTTTTGTTTTGTCCATAATAACAGGTAAAACATATAGGCTAAGAATATCAAACGTGGGTCTCAAAACATGCTTAAACTTCAGAATCCAAGACCATGATATGCTTCTAGTTGAGACAGAGGGTACGTATGTTCAAAAACGTGTTTACTCGAGCCTGGACATCCACGTAGGCCAATCATACTCTGTTCTAGTCACTGCCAAAACCGACCCGGTTGGAATCTACCGGTCCTACTACATATACGCCACAGCCCGGTTCACTGATTTCTACCTTGGCGGTAGAGCTTTGATTAGATATCCCAATTCCCCACTTGATCCGGTCGGACCAGTTCCACTCGCACCTGCTTCGTGGGATTACTCTTCCTCAGTTGAACAAGCCCTTTCCATTAGGTAAACAAATACTTCATTTTTTATGGGAAACATATATATAACCTTTTTTAATGAAATATTACTAATAAATGTTAAGTGTGACACAGAATGGACCTAAACGTTGGAGCAGCAAGATCGAACCCACAAGGTTCGTACCACTACGGACGTATAAACGTAACCAGAACAATAATATTACATAACGACGTTATGCTGTCGTCGGGCAAACTACGTTATACGATTAACGGCGTTTCGTTTGTCTACCCTGATACTCCGTTAAAGCTCGTTGATCATTTCCAGCTAAATGACACGATTATCCCCGACATGTTCCCGGTTTATCCATCCAACAAAACACCGAGTCTTGGAACTTCAGTGGTCGATATTCATTACAAAGATTTTGTCCACATCGTGTTCCAGAATCCTTTATTTGAATTGGAGAGTTATCACATCGATGGTTACAATTTTTTCGTTGTCGGGTAAAAATTACAATTTAAATCATAATCATGTGTATGATGATTAAATTTGGTATACTAATCTTATTTGGGTTGATGTTAGATATGGATTTGGAGCTTGGTCTGAGAGCAAAAGAGCTGGATATAACTTAGTGGACGCTGTTTCACGGTCAACAATTCAGGTATACTAATCTCGTAATTAAAGTATTAAACCAGTGATTAGTTTTGGTTAATTGGTTCTGTTTGGGTTTAGGTTTATCCATATTCGTGGGCAGCAATACTAATAGCTATGGATAATCAAGGAATGTGGAACGTGAGATCACAGAAAGCAGAGCAATGGTATCTTGGTCAAGAGCTTTATATGAGAGTTAAAGGTGAAGGACAAGAAGATCCTTCGAATATTCCGGTTAGAGATGAAAATCCGATACCGGGAAATGTCATCCGTTGTGGCAAAGTTCTTTAATAACTAATTGTTTTAAATAATTAAAATCGAAGGGTATTAGTAAAAACTAAAAAATACTAACAGTAAAGAACGTTTTGAAGAGGATCATGTTGATCTTTAGGGTTTGGGATTGCGTTGTGGCTATTGGCTAAGACTACTAAACGGTGCCGTTTTCGCTTTATTGATGGGCTCGCATAATTGTTATCTGCAAAGTCGGCCCAGCCCAGGTCTGCTTTGACTTGGTGAGTGCTAACGTGCTCCCATTTCGTCTATGTTCCCTTCAGTGACATTTTCACAATAAGTTGGGAACAAGTTTATATTAAAAAAAAAAATAGGATCCTTTTACAAGTTCAATTATTGATTTTGACGTTACGTATAAACAGTAGATCGAACATGACATAAATAAAAATGGGAAAAAACTAATTGGATCAAATCTGAGATCTTACTACAGTCTACATCTAGCTAGCTACATGTGCTATGACATTATTTTATTTTTCTTTCTATATTTTCCTTTGTTATCATCAATATTGTATAATAGATCCAAACATAATCAGTGTGATGATATTTTTTATATACTTATTGATAATTCAACCAATTTCAATTATTGTGTTTTATCGTTTACATAGAAATAGGTACATATGTATTCAAGATCTCCATATCGTTTATTACATCTTGCTACATGTGCTATGTCACTAAAACAACTAAGACACTACATGGAAGTTCTTGCATTCATTTCGCAGTCAACTTGTAATGCATTATAACTATCAGAATTATTGAATTTTTGTTACTCGATGATTTCAGAAAGACATAACATATAATCAAGGGGGTTGTAGCTAGTAGTAATGAAGTTCGAATAGTAAAAGATTTCATCATATGGATCAAGATATATATAAAACTAGTCCAACTATCTACAACCATTGTAGACGTTTGTAATTAGTAAAAACATTCCGTCTTTTCATCGATTTCAATGATTAGTATGTATTTGTGACCATGATTTATTCCCAACTAATAAAATAAAGTCAACAAAGAAAACAAGGGGAGCTAACATTGATTGAATGTATAAATAGTAACAGAGAGCATGACTGGTAATCTGGTCTATCAGAATAACTAAATAATTGTTAGGGAAATGAACTGAACTAAATCAAGTTTCCGTAGGATAATTATATAACGCTGACAAACTAGTTATAGTAAATTAATCACGTTCTGTTTTATCAAGTTATTTTTACAAGTTAACGATATACAGCATAATGACTTTTCCAAACCATTTGATGAATATTTCGAATGGAAAAACAAAAAAACGATCTCAAGCTTTCAAGACGAAATAACATAAACAAATGGTATAAGCCTTTTCATCGTTTTAGTTTACAAAAACTTTAAAGCTATTCACAATTAAATACACGATGTAACTCAACAATATCTTAAATAACATTAATCATTTTTTGTTATGATGTATCATTCATTTACTTTGTAGAAATTTCAATTTGACGGTGCTAACAATTTGATAAAACATGTGATATTCGATTTTTTTGTAGAAAAAAAGAAAACGGTAAAAACTAAAAATAGTCATATAAAAAAAAGTAATAGTGTATAGTGAAAAACAGAGGATAAAAAAAAACGGTTATAGCTAGCTGGCAAGATCCATCTTCTTTCACACGCTGTCAAAATTTGTCACTACTTGCCAAAAAAAACTCTCCCGCCTCTCTCTCTCTCTCTCTCTCCCTTCTTATTCTCCTCCTTCACCATCTCTCTCAGATCTCAAATCTTCATCGATCATCATCATCATCATGAGAGAGATCCTTCACGTCCAAGGCGGTCAATGCGGTAACCAAATCGGTTCCAAATTCTGGGAAGTTATCTGCGACGAACACGGCGTTGATCCCACCGGACGTTACAACGGTGATTCCGCCGATCTCCAGCTCGAGCGTATCAACGTTTATTACAATGAAGCTTCTGGTGGTAGATACGTTCCTCGTGCTGTTCTTATGGATCTCGAGCCTGGTACTATGGATAGTATCAGATCTGGTCCCTACGGTCAGATTTTCCGTCCTGATAACTTCGTCTTTGGGCAATCCGGCGCCGGAAATAATTGGGCCAAAGGTCATTACACGGAAGGCGCTGAGCTTATTGATGCTGTTCTCGATGTTGTTCGTAAAGAAGCTGAGAACTGTGATTGCCTTCAAGGTATTTATAAATCGATTTCTACGATGATGAATCTGGTGTTTGCTTTGATCATAACATTTAAATCTGTGATTGATTTTTGAACTAAAACTGCAATTGTTCCAATCATTGATTTGGTTTTGATCAATGTAGTAACCGATGATATCGATTTCACTAATCATCCTCAAGATCATGACTCCAATTACAGATTTATGGATTACGTGAACATGATCCTTCGTTGATCGATTTGCGTTTTTAAGATGTTTCCTCTCTTTGTGAGTGAGTCGGTGCTTCGTTTTCACTAATTCATATTTTGGTTCAAACCAACTAATTGTTGATTACTGTTTAACACTTAATGATTGGCTAGGAATTAGATTTTGCCTATTCTTTATAGTAAAAAGTTTACGTCATTGAATCTAAGGACAATATCCTAATTTGGCCCCTAAATGTTTTTGTTCCATATTAGTGACTGTGAATCAAAATGATCACGTGAACCTTAAACCGTATCGAATTTTATAATAAGAACCTTAAACGTGAACTCTTGTGTTGTTGACAGTATCGAGGTGAAACATATCATTTTGTGGGGATATAATTGAATAAGCAAGTGGGTCATGATTGGTTTCATCAACTGTTTATATAATAACATCTCAATACTTTTTTGGATCTGGTCTTAACATTTGTTTCACACTTGTTCTTAACATTTCTGTATCTCATTTTATATAATTACAGGGTTTCAAGTATGTCACTCTCTTGGAGGAGGCACAGGTTCTGGAATGGGAACTCTCTTGATATCAAAGATCCGTGAGGAGTATCCAGACAGGATGATGCTCACATTCTCTGTTTTCCCATCTCCAAAGGTCTCAGACACTGTCGTTGAACCGTATAATGCAACTCTCTCAGTCCACCAGCTCGTAGAGAACGCTGATGAATGCATGGTCCTTGACAACGAAGCTCTCTACGATATCTGTTTCCGCACTCTCAAACTTAGCACTCCTAGCTGTAAGTACCACGATTTGTGTAAAAACGCTACTGTTTCTTTCTTGGTTCCTAAATTCTAAGATTTCATATATATACATTTTGCAGTTGGAGACTTGAACCACTTGATCTCTGCAACCATGAGTGGTGTGACTTGCTCTTTAAGGTTCCCTGGACAACTCAACTCTGACCTAAGGAAACTGGCCGTGAACCTTATCCCATTCCCTCGTCTCCATTTCTTCATGGTGGGTTTTGCACCTCTCACTTCCCGTGGCTCCCAACAGTACATTTCCCTCACAGTCCCCGAGCTGACACAGCAAATGTGGGACGCCAAAAACATGATGTGTGCAGCTGATCCGCGCCACGGACGTTACCTCACAGCCTCAGCTATGTTCAGAGGGAAAATGAGCACAAAGGAAGTGGACGAACAAATCCTGAATGTCCAGAACAAGAACTCATCCTACTTTGTTGAATGGATCCCAAACAATGTCAAGTCCAGCGTCTGCGACATTCCACCAACTGGAATCAAAATGGCTTCCACATTTGTCGGAAACTCGACTTCAATCCAAGAAATGTTCAGGAGAGTAAGCGAACAGTTCACGGCTATGTTCAGGCGTAAAGCTTTCTTGCATTGGTACACAGGTGAAGGAATGGATGAGATGGAATTCACTGAAGCAGAGAGCAACATGAATGACCTGGTGGCTGAATACCAGCAATACCAAGATGCTACCGCTGATGAAGAAGGCGAGTACGAAGATGAAGAAGAAGAAGTTTACGAATCTTGATTTCGTAATCTCTCAGATTGGTTCAGAGAACAACACAAACCAAAAGATTAAAAAAACGGAAGTCAATTCATCTCTATGTCTCTATTCCTATTATTACCACTATATATATATATATATATACATGTATCAAGTTGAAGAAACTGGGAAATGTGTTTGTTTGTTTGTTACTTTTTCTTTGTGGTTCTCTCTTATTGTATTTTGCCATTTAGTTTCTTCTTTTCTTCTCATTGCCTTTGTAATAAATAATATGTCCACGTATCTCCCTTTTAAGCCTTTAGCGTTTTTACTTCGTACTTCATAGTATTCAAAAAGGGATTCTTAGAATCCTTTGAGTTTCCATTATGAAACGGAGGGAGTAGTATACACAACCAAAACATTGGAAACTTGGTTGCGTATTCATTACAAAAACCTACTATTTCTGCTATATAATTATAACCCAAAAAAGGTTTTTTCAAAAAACTACCCATATCACTACTTAAGTTGATAAGAAGAGATGAATCTATTATAAAGCTTCTTGGATCGAATCAAACCTAGTCTTCTTTGTCTTGCTTGAGCAGCTACTTGGACTTTATTTGCCACTCTCTGAAAACCCTCCTCTGCTGCTGGAAGGTTGAGATCAAAGCCACGTCGTTCCAAGTTATCCATACGCAACGACGCCGTTTCGAAATCCCTCACCTTGACCGTACGATCAACCGCAATAAACGGTAGATGTTGATCACATCTAATGGGCTGGGCTATTAAACCAACGTGTGCTCTAAGTAAACCTGTATCCGCCTGTATCTTCACAGAATATTATCAAAATGGAAACAAATATTAAAAAAGTAAACATTTTTTATACATAGGGAAAATAAATAAAATAAAAGGTAAATATGAACACCTCGAGGACTGAAGAACTCTGATTTTTTTTTTTTAAAGGGAAAACCTCTGAAAAAAAGATATCAGAGTTCTTCAGTCCTCTGATATTTAATTAGTACAAAATTCTGCTTCTAAACCCTTTTTAATCTGTCGTTTATATCAAAAAAACATACACAAAAACAATTACTAAGTACCAAATTTAACATATCAAATGTATTTTACACAGATACGAATAAAAAAATTGAAGAATAGAAACAAGAAAAGCCAAAAAAAAAAACTCAAGAGAAAATTAAGACTTACGATTTGAGAATTGGCTTTTTTGGCCTCGCCGGTTAAGCACGACGAACTCGAATTACTTCCCATATCGCCGACCTCCGCCGTACACGGCAGCGATTTCATCACCGGTTCCGGCGGATGCAGGTGAATTGAAAAAGAGGACCTCTTTTTAGTGCGACCCCATTTATGGAACAAAGGAGAATCAGAAGAGAATATGACCGGATGTGAAAGTTGCAATAAGATTGAAGAAATTTCGTAGTCACTTCTATCGAAAAAATCATCTTTCTTCTTTCCTTTGCCGTCACGGTAACGGAGAGAACCGTGATCTTCCATAGCTATGCTCTGTTTCTTCTTCTTCTTCGACATTGAATGGGCAGAGACACGAATGGGGTCGTCTTTTGGGAGTCTCTCTTTCTCTCGGCTTGAAACGATTGGGTTTATGAGATAAATCTTTCTCCCAAGATTTTGTTTCGTTTTTATTTTTTGTTTATGACACGTGTCATTACATTTTTTGTTAAATTTTTTTGCTTTCTTTTCTCTCTTTTATTTGTTTTCTTATTTTATTTTTTTTTCGTTGTAATTACAAATTTCCTTTTTGGCCATTTAATTCTGTCAATTTTGGAAGCAAAAAAAGGATTAATACCTGATATGTTAGGTAAAAAAATACTTATTTTTCTTTTCTTCTTAAACCTTATTTTATTTCTGATATTTTTTCGACTACCATATTTTTTTTTTTAACATAGTATACATATTATTAATTCTACCGAAATGGGCTTTGGGCTTTGACAATGGACAACAACAAAAACCAATGGTCTTTCATACTTACTAAGCAACAAACCACACAAGGCTCGTTATTATCAAACCCATTGTTGAATGTGATGATGAGCTTAACAACAAGGATATTATATCCACACTAATACAAATTACAATATTTGTTAGCATATGTATTCAATTGGTAAACAAACCTGTTCAGACTATTACAGAAGAGAACTCTTTCTCAGTCCACATATATAGTTGCTATTGCGAGTTGTGCATCGAGTTAACATAGGGAGCCTAGGAGACCTTCTTAATGGTTTTACCTCATCATGTGATGGTTTTGAGATTTCGTTGCCCTTCTTCTTCTTACTAGTATTGTTAGAAATTCAGCCACTTTAGCCATCAATCTTGAGATGATTGAAGCTGCTCCTGAATAGATATAAGACTTGAGATTTTCTTATTCCCTTGTTTGATCTCTTCGTCTTTCCTCATTAACTCCTCACTAGTTTCCTTGTGCAATTGTAACCGGTGAAAGTGGTGGAGATCGAGAGATAGTGGAAGGATTGGGAGAACAAAAACCTAATAAAAGGGGAAAGTGGATTTTATTTAAAGATATCGTAAAGAGTTTAGCTATATTATTAAAACAATTCGATTAATGAAATAATTGCATCAATCAAATCTAAAATTTACGAATAAATAAAAGTAAATCGGAATACTTTGACTTTCTCATACTTAAACTTCCTAACCTATATCCTTGGCAAACAAAATCATAAAATTACATACTCCTATATTCGCATTCACATTCAAGATTTCTCCATTTACTTGGAAAGATGTTTTCTTCTTCTCTGCCTCCGGAAATTATTCTCAAAATCCTCTCTTTTCTTCCGGGCAAAACATTACAACAACTCCGATTAGTTTCAAAGCAATTTAACTCCTTAATCTCCGAACCCTACCTCCTCCGTCTCCACCACCGTCATGCCCTAAACTCCTTCTCTATCCTAACCACCTTCATCTCGTACCAAAGATCCCTAACCATAGATCTCAAACTCTTACTCTTTACTCGGAGTGTTATTGGATTGATCACTTTCAATACATTTTAAGCACACTAATAATTACCACTAATTGTTTATTCTTAAAACAAAAATGTGGACAGAATCATATGATTTTGAACTTTTTCTTCTTTTCATAGAAGACAAAAAAATACAATCTTTTCATGGAATCATAATGCAAGAAACAGCCTAAAACACAAAGCAAGATATTCATACGTACTTGAAGAAACAATCATTTCACAACACATGAAATCCACACCAAAAAAAAAAAAAACATGAAATCCACAATAGATATTTAAGAAAAAATCCAAAACAATGATAATCACTATTGCACAATCCAATTATAATCGTTGAATAATTCACTACAAATATGATAAAATGGAAATTAATTCATTACAAAGAGACGAAGCAGAGTCGTTGGCTTACCACGAATCTAATTTCCACCAAAACAAACTTAACACTACACGTGTCACCGTCATAAAGTGTTAAACTTTTCGACTTTTTTTTTTGTTCTGTAAGAAAAAAGGAGTGAATTTTAGCTCTATGGTTGCGTTACCAATTTCTCCAGTTTCCCCACTCCACCTCCAAAAAGATTAAAATTTAAAAGACAGTGTAAGCATAATAATCACCTGATCAATTCACACATAAAAGAGACAGATCTGTTTTTTTTCTTACAATCATCGTACCAAGTTCCTAAAGGTTTCGACTTTACTGTTTCTATTTTCGGAAAGAAAGTGAATGATTGAATCGAAGATGAAGGCGGCGAAGAGGCCGATCCACGCCGTGACGACATGGGTTCGTCGGCAACCACCAAAGGTTAAAGCTTTTCTCGGTGTTGTATCCGCCATGACTGCTCTCGTTTTGTTGAGAATGATTGTTCATGACCACGACAATCTTTTTGTCGCTGCTGAGGCTGTTCATGCCCTTGGAATCTCCGTCCTTATCTATAAACTCACCAAGGAGAAGACTTGTGCTGGTATATTATCGATTTCTTGATTTTTAGGTTTAGGTTTTGAATAGGGGATGATTAGTGATTCTGAATTTGATTTCCCCCTGATGATCGGTTTCGATTTCGAATTAGGGTTTGTTTGATGCTGTTGGATTCGTGTGTTACAAATTTGCAATCTTTTAATGACAGGATTATCTCTCAAGTCTCAAGAGCTAACGGCTCTGTTTTTGGCGGTGAGATTGTATTGTAGTTTTGTGATGGAATTTGATATTCACACGTTGCTTGATTCGGCTACATTGGTGACTACACTTTTTGTTATCTATATGATCCGTTTTAAGCTCAAAGCTAGTTACATGGACGACAAAGACAATTTTGCTATCTACTACGTCGTAAGTTGTTTTCTTTATTGTGTTTTTGAAGAATGTGAATCATATATTTGAAGAAGGTTTAAGTAGCAACCTTTATTTCAATTAGTTTCTTTATTTTTATCATTTTGTAAGATTTCCTTTCCTAATACTATCAATTTGAGTTTCATTGTGATAGAGTTTTATTAGTCCATTTTGATAATAATGTTTGTGAGCTTTTTTGAATATGGTTGCAGGTTATTCCATGTGTTGTTCTATCAGTTCTCATTCACCCATCAACACATCATCATATAATCAATAAGATTTCTTGGGCCTTCTGCGTTTACCTTGAAGCTGTTTCAGTCCTTCCTCAACTTAGAGTCATGCAAAACACTAAGGTACTTTTGAAAAGCTTGAAACTAGTCCCTATCCTTTACATGATTTAAACTAGTAACACATGTCTCGTCTCAGATCGTGGAGCCATTCACAGCACATTACGTATTCGCTTTGGGGATCGCTAGGTTCTTGAGTTGTGCACACTGGGTCCTTCAGGTTTTTTTTCTTTGTTTTCTGGCCTCCAAACTATAAAGCTTGATTTTTGTAGTATATAATGATAATCTGATGATGGTGTAGGTTTTGGACACTCGAGGGCGGTTATTGACTGCTTTAGGATATGGTTTCTGGCCTATAATGGTCCTCTTCTCTGAAATCGTCCAAACCTTCATTCTCGCAGACTTCTGCTACTACTATGTGAAGAGGTAAAATCATGAATGTTTTTAGTCATCGTCTCATTTGTCGATACGTTGGTTGTAATTATGTGCTGATGGCTGATCTTAAAGAACATTGATGGGTGTTCTAAGATTTTTATGTTTGTGGTGTTGGGCAGTTTAATGGGTGGTCAGCTCGTTCTTCGTCTCCCATCAGGTGTTGTGTAAAATTTGGTGGAAACGAGATAAGAAGAAGATATGGAGTTGCTTAAGCTTATGATGTGGAGTAATGATCTATCTCTTGCAGGCTAATCGTTTTGAGTCTTCTCTAATCTCTTTTTTTCTTCCCTTTATGTTTTTTTTCTTTCTTGGAGGACTTGTAAAGAAAAAAGAAAATTGATTATAGATTATGAGTTTTGACATTAATTTGAAAATTAGTCTCAGCTTTTAATATATTATGTAGTTTAATGTTGTTTCCAGAAGCAATTAGATGAATGCTTTGGTGTTCAATATTACATGAGAGGGATTATGAATCATAATATGTGTATACAAATTTAAAGGGTCTCAAATACTACTCACACTTTATTTCAGTTTAAATTGCCTGCTTGAGGATTACAAGAAGTCGAGGACAAGCCAGAAAAATAATTTGTTGAACAGAAAAAAAAAAAACTTAATTTAAGGGAGTAAGAAAATATTATTTGAATGTATATATTATTTGGTTGTGATAACAGCGAAAATTAGATACTATAAAAAGTTTTTTCCTTTCAAATAGTTAGTTTCACGACTTTCTTTTCACATCAAGAATTACAATAGTTACGAGTTACTTACGAGTGACGATGATTGTTGCTATTGTTTGTTTCTTTCAGCTATTTTCAACTGAAAAGGTTCTCAAGTCTCAAGTCTCAAGTCTGAGCTTATCCAAATTTGTTTGTTTTATATTCGATTTCGACTCTTTTGGCTGCGGGCCTACAGCTGGACTCTGTAATCGTATCACCTAATATTCCACCAAATGTTTTATATATAATTACAATTCATTTATACTAATTTTAATGAATGGAGTAGCTAGTAGATATTATTATTATTTTTTGAAAAAAAGCTAGTAGATATTATTGGGTGATATTTTTATGTCTACCCAAACCTTATGTGTGAATGATCATCGTTTTTATTAGAATGATCAACAATAAAATCGACGAAAATCATGCTTTTAAACGAATTCAATGCGACAAATGTCAGCGTTTTGTATGTCGAAAAAGATTCATCTTCAAAGCATTTTTGGCGGATGAACCACGATCACAATTTTTGTAAAGTCGAGCAAGCACTAAGTGCTTCTTTACAACGAAAGTGTACGTGTCTACTTGATCTTAGAGAACGTTGTCTCGATCGAGTGGCTAGATATGTGATATGTCTAGTGCCCATTTATATGATCTCTAATAACCAAGTGAATTTTTTGGTCTAGTGAACTTTTTTAAAGAAAACAACGTATCAAGTTATCGTTAGAATCTATTTAGAAGGATCTAAAAGATGTTCTCGTACTCTCGTATATTTAAGAGGTTTTGATCCGAATTTAGCCTCTTATTTTCTCAACTTGTTAAAATAAAATTCAAAAAGAATGAAGTATATTTGTGGTCATTAGATGATATGATCGGTGTGGTATGGGCGACTACCTATTGTCGCATGAATATATGGTTTGGCAAACAAAACAAAAAAGTATTGTAAAAAAGACTCCAAATCCGTTTGTTTAAACGTGTGTTCCTTAATTTTTTCTCTGTTTATAACTTTATAGCATGTCATATAAATATAATTAACGATTCATTCATTAAAAAAAATCATCTGCAAAATCACTTTTTTTTCTTTCAAATATACAACTACCACATATGCATTATCAAATTAAAAATGAAATATAACTTAACAATTTAACATCGATACTATCACAAATCGCAAAGCTAGACAACTTCTAAGTTCTAATCCCGCAAAATAACATTATAAAATTTCATAAAATATCAGTAAAACCCTAGTATCGATTATATACAAATGGATTGGGATGGAAAAGGAGATCACAAGTTGGCAATTATTAGCTATATAACAGCTGTTAATGCGAATAACAACACTTTCACAGCTGTCTTAAGAACTCACTTCTCTATCACTTTTTCTTAATTTTCTTTCCTCTTTAATACATTTTCAGCAAATAAAGGTTACTTCCATTTTCGAATCTATTAAATAATAAAGTGGTCTATTTCACGAGTAAAGAACAATTTCTTGAAAACGCTCCTCTAAATTAATGGCGATCGAGATATGATCCAAAGTCCAAACAACAAAAGATTAGGAAATTAAAATGTTTTTGAGATACTATTTACTTTGTTATGCATTATAATTCATATTCTCAATTGTTTTCTTATGTTATGAATTCTGATTCATATACTCATTATTTTCTTTAATTATGCTCCTTACTATATAAACTGTTACCATGAAAATAATTGCTGGCAAATTAGCGATATGTTAATGGAATCTCTTTCTGTTTTCGTCTAACAAAACTAATGTTATTATTTGATAAACCTAAAATTATTAGTTACTTATACTTAAAAGTTAAAACAGTGAAAGTTAGGTGCAAATATTGATCGACTTAATGTAGAGAGTTCAATGAAACGACTAATTAAATAAGTAAAGACATTATGTGTCAGCCATGATAACTGAAGTGACATTTTCATGCAGAAAGAAACATGCTCCTCAATTATTTATTTATTTGTAAAATCAAAAGGCTATGGTATAGACTTCCTGAAGAATGTGTGTTAAGTGTGCGTGCGGGATGGGGTTTGGGGTCGATAAGAGCATCATTATAGATAGTTTTTTAGAGATAGATCTTAGTAATATTTAAATAATTTATTTGTAAAAGTGATTGTTAAGAGATAGTATTTTTGAGTTAAAATTTTTGTGTGATTAATGGTAGGCTCTTAACATGTGGTTCTTAGAGGAAAAAAATATTAATATAAAAATAAAATTTATAATTATAAAAAATTTAATAATTGTTGCATATTAAAACATACATGAGATACAATTTATAACATAAATCACAAATATTTTAAACTTCATTTCTTCTATATTTTGTCCATATATGCTCGACCAAATCATTCTTCAATTGTTGATGCATACCTCGATCACGAACTCGACCTCTATTATCGAAGAAATTAGAAGGCGTATCTGTAAAATATGTGAAATCCTCTCAATCAAAACGTGACATGTGGCACCTCTTAAGTATTAAAGTGATTTAAATTAAATAGTTAATATAATAAGCTAAGGAAGGTACCTAAAATTAAGGTAACATCCCCCTATAATGTTGCTTTAAGTTTGGTGAAAAAGCCAAACACTGAAGACAGACGATCCGTGACATTGACCTCTCTATTTCTTTACCTTTCCAGTTTTTGTCTATTATTTCGAAACGTCAATTTATATAATTTGTAACATTTTACATCTACTCCACTATTTCTCAATAATTCATAGTTTCTATTAAAATTCTTGTTTTAACATTTTTTCATTTTGTTTTGGAGAATAGTTAAAAATCTTAAAACATATATAAGTGAACCTAACTTTTAATCGACTCATATATATGAACCTAATTAGTATGATTTTGACTCTATTAATAACAACATCCAAACATATCTTGCATAGAAATTAGTTTACATTTGTATATAACTATATCAATTCAAAGAAACAATCAGAAAACAATTTTGGTGTTGGAGCCCAATTTGCCTGTTGCCTAGTGGTAGTCCTTATATATGGGACAATGCGTAACTAAATTTACTCTCTTTTTTAGTTCAAATCCTATTATAGAAACAAAAATTACATCCATTTTGGAAGGTAGGAGTTGTGACCGTACATATGTGTTGTCGAATGGTTGTGTTATACCAAAAAAAAGTTCAACTAGAACCCTCCAATTCAGTGGCGGAAACCAGTTGAAACTTTGGTGGACCAAGTTTTTTTTGTCGACTGCCTCACTCCTGAAGCTAATCGGAAGGCTTAACTGTAATTGGACAATATATATATTTGTAAGCATATTAATTATATTCATATACAATTGTTGATTCGAATCATTCAAAGTTATTAGAAATAAATAAAAAACTAAAATTATCGTTTCTGGTTTACGGTCGATATTATGTAGACTAAAGTATATAATTTTTCGGTACTAAAAAAATCAAACAACAAAGAGTGGAGACGAAAAGAAAACAACAAAAAAAAAGAAAAGAAAAGAAAAGAAAACAACAAAGAGTGGACCATAAGAAAAATACTAGTAATACTTAAAACAAAACATAAAGATTGATCTAGAAATCAATTTAAAAATAAAATAGAAAAGAGGAAATATATAAAGACGAAGAGTGGGTCATAACTCATAAGAAGAAGTGCAAGCTGTGAAATGCAGCATTCGCAAAAAGGACCACTCACGTCTACTTCCTCTCATCCTTCTTGTCTCAACCACATCAACTCTCTTTTTTAACTCCAATTTTCACATTACTTTATTATACGTCAAGATATTAGTTTTTGTTATAATATAATATAACAATCTCATGGAAAAAGCTCACTATGGAAAAGTCAATCGTCCAACTGAATTATTATATTTACATATATCGCTGAATTAGGATATTTTTGGTAGAACCAAAACTTACCAAACCAAAGCGAAACTAATAATAGAGTTTAGGCTTAAGTACATCATAGAAGTCTATACACTTGTACAGTAATACATTGGCTTTTAGTTCTATCGAAAGCAAGATTCACATAAAACAGTGAATTTCATACAATTTGATAAATAAAAATTCGTTGGAAAAAAAGTAATACCGAATCCATTGATCAAATTTAAACAAGAGACCACAAATAATACAACCTTATTTCGCCCACCATAATATTCTCATCTCCGCGTACTCACAACTTTTATACGCACCACCAACCGACCCATTTTGAAAAAGAGAAAAGAAACCATACGTAACAACATACATAAATAATATGCTGATAACCATTTTTTAAATCTATTAACTATTTATAGTAATCAATATCTATTGCAAAACATATTTATAAGAAAAAAAAAGAATACAAATTATTTTTTCTCAGTTACCTAAAAAATAAAAAAATGTCTTACTTTATTTTCAGCCACTGTTGGAAAGTACTTGCAATGATATCGCATTAGAATTATGAAACTCAGAAAGCAATTATTTTCCCTGAAAAGTGAAAACTAAAAACAACTAAAATTAAAAGAATAGTCTAGACCGAAAATGGGGTTGGGTGTTCAACGAAAGGAGGTCTATAAATAGAAGCCTCTAAGTTCTCATTTCGACACAACAACTAATTAAACGCACACATTTATCTTCACTCTGAATTGAGCTAAGTTCTCACATCATACTCTCTCCTTGGAGAATTATGGCTATTTCAAAAGCTCTTATTGCTTCTCTTCTCATATCTCTTCTTGTTCTTCAACTCGTCCAGGCCGATGTCTTCGTACGTCTTTTTCATCACAAATACTCAATATAATATTTTTTTTTTCAAAAACATATATCTCACATGTTACAACAATACTCGTGCAGGAAAACTCACAGAAGAAAAAAGGTTACGCAAAGAAGATCGGTAATTATATATTTTCTATATATGTCCCACAAATACATGTATATGATTTATATTAAAACTAACGTTAAATTAGTGAGATTAATATATAATCTCTGTTTTTCTTTCATGTATAGATTGTGGGAGTGCGTGTGTAGCACGGTGCAGGCTTTCGAGGAGGCCGAGGCTGTGTCACAGAGCGTGCGGGACTTGCTGCTACAGGTGCAACTGTGTGCCTCCGGGCACATACGGTAACTACGACAAGTGCCAGTGCTACGCTACCCTCACCACCCACGGTGGACGCCGCAAGTGCCCATAAGAAACAAAGCTCTTAATTGCTGCAGATAATGCGATGATGTCGTTTTGTTAGTATTTCTTTGGCGTATATATGTGGATCGAATAATAAACGAGAACTTACGTTGTCGTTGTGAGTGAGTACTGTATTATTAGTTGGTATATTTGTTGCAAGTTTTCTGGTTTTGAATTTGTTTTTTTTTTCTTATTTGTATATCGATTCGTGCAAAAATCTCATTGTATTATTTCATTTTGTAATAAAATTATGTTACTTTGATGCAAGATGAGAACTATTCGTGCATTTACTTACGTACAAGGGTCTCGTCAAAGTAAAATTTTCGTTATATAATTCATGAATTTGGCCAATTTGTGTTAACACGATAGAGTAGACTAAATAATTATATTCCAGTGATTAAATTTCATTTGTGGAGACCGAGAACATACTTCACTTTTTTTAATATAATCATTATAGATAGAATTTTGGTATAAGATTTTGTTACCATCGATATTTATTTGACAGCCATATATACCTTATTCCAAAATTTGGTCCACACATATAACATAGGAATAGCATATAGCTATAGGTTCGTCTAAAAGAAAATAAAACAAAAATGATGACTTAGCGAATTGATGATAGTAAAGTTTCCGTAGATCTAGCAAGAGGAAGTAAACTGATTTGGTAATATCCATTGCGAAAAGTTCGTTTTGTTAAAAACATATATCGTGGATACTTAATTTTGATTTAAGAAAAAAAAAAAAAAAAAAATTTAAAAGTGAAAGCCCCCGGCGAGGATCGAACTCGCGGCCTTTCGCTTACGAAGCGAACGCAATACCACTATGCTACGGAGGCTTTCGATTATCTGTAGAAATCCAGTCGTATTTAATAATAAGCGTATGAGAAATATTGAGGACTCGGAAGTTTGTAGCTTAGTTATTGCATTTTCAGAGGCCAATGTCAAACAGAAGGCCTTTCTCACGTTTATACGTTTCTCTATTCGTCGAACTTTATAGCAAAATTTGTAATGTTACATCTTGCTTGGGCCATTGTTTCATTATATGGGCCTTAGTTGTCACATGAGTGGTTCTTAATTCACTCAACTCGCGTAATATATGAGAAAAATGTCCAAGTGAACTAATAATCAAATTGGCAGAAAGGAGAGAGTCCACTCGAAAAAGTGAAGCCAACATAAATATTTGGTAAGACACTAAACACAGTAGATGAGTAATACGTTTGGCGAAATTCACCTGACTTGTCGATTTCAGTGTGATGACGTGGTCAAATGATTATTAGTTCTTCTTACATCTCCACTAGTTATGAGCACTTTGGACGGAAATACAGAAAGCCATGCCGTTTTTACTTTGACAAGACGATTAGACAAAAAAAAAAAACGCCGTGACATTCTCACGTAATTATGGAAGACAGCCAGACGTTTGAGTTAAAAGGGACCCGCCCGACCCGGTTCACGAAGTTATCATAATTGGTTTATATAAAAGGGTTGCCTGCCCCTGTCTCCCTGTACTATAGTGTTTTAACTCGGTTCCCCCTGTACTTTCATCCTCTTCCTATTTCCCCCTATACACATGACATTCTTCATAATTCCACCTCTTTTTATAAAATTCTACCCAATTCCCCACAATCAATTAAACTCTCTAAATGCATTTTAAAATCGCTAAATCGCGTTTTAAAATTGATTTTCTCTGACCAAACCGGTAATCGACCCAAATCTCATAACCCGAATTGAACCTTCAAATTGATAAAGAGGGTTCGATTTTCTTCCTAAAACCCTAACAAAATCAAATCAAATTAAGACTTGTTGTTTATGTTAAGGAAACCAAATTGAAAGAGATCCGAAAGAAAGCAAATTTGTCCAAAATAACCAACATCATCATAATTGTTACATTAGTCTAGAACCAAAACACATCTGAATCGGCTAAAATGTTGCTGACATAATAGTAACTCCAAAAACATGACAACACATTCAAATACCATTTGCCGAAAAGCATAGCATAGAAACTACTCTTGTGTTGCTTGAGAAGGTTGTGTGATGTTGATCGTATCCGGCCCTTGAATCTCCTTCTTAGATTGCTTCTCCTTTGTAGTCTTCTTCTCCTTACTATCCTTCTTTGCCTTCTTAGATTGCTTTTCAAACTGAGTAAGTAAGTTAGTAAGATACTAAAGAGAAAGAGAATATGAAGAAAGAAAGAAACTTTAAAGCAGCTACATACCTCATCATTGCCATCACTCTTTGACTTTCTCTTCCTTGGTACCTTCTCCTTAGGGAATTTTTTATATCCTAATGCGTTATGCCCAGCTTCACCGCAACTCTTGCAATGCATGGTTCGGCCTGTTCTGCCAAGCTTTTCAACTTCATTTTTCTTCTTTTTTTTTCATCTTTGGTGACTCATTCTTCCCTTTGATCCTTGCAAATTTCCCTTTTTTTGTTTTCCCTTTCTTTCTTCCCGGAAGAACAGGTTCTGGTGGTGCGCTTACCAAACTGTAACATGAATTCATCCAATACTTAGGACCCCTTAATGGCATGGTGGCTGTCTCATAGTTGTCTCTCCATAGCTCTGTCAAGAAGAACCCAGATATGTAGTTCTCGGCATCCAAAGCAGCCTCTATCATAGCTGCATAAGCATGCTCACAAGGTATCCCACTTATTTGCCACTTCCCACATCAACACATTGTTTTTGGTATATCCACTTTATGACCATTTCCATCTATATAGACCTCAAAAACTCCATGTGTGCAACGATATACTGTACTTCTATCCGCATCTTTCTTCTCTAATGCAAGAATCTTCAAAGCATATTTAGAAAATCTCCCTTGATGGCGCTGTGATTTCTTGTTCCTCTTGACAATCCGAGTCATTCCTTGCCTCCTTATTGTTTCTAGCATTGGAATCAATGACTTTGCTCTTGCCTTGGTGATGGTTGAGTTGAATGACTCGGTAGCATTATTGTCAACATCCTCACAACAACTACCAAGCTTATAGAAACATCTTGACCAAGTATGTGGTTCCTCTTTCAAGACATCATTGTACAGTTCTTCATCATAGACTCTCAAGTTATTGAGATTTTTCTTATAGTCCTTATCATTATAGCTCCAAGCCAATTTCCACACTAATGTCTTGAGCATATCCTTCTTGGCATGGTTCTTCTTCAGATTCTCTACAATATGCTTCACACACATTCTATGTTCAGCATTTGGCAATTCATGTTTCACAGCACTCAGGAGACCCTGTTAAACAATTTGGAAATTGTAAGAAATTTGAGACTTATCAACAAGTAATGTAATACAAAAAGGATGAGAGGTTCTTACCTTTGAGCGGTCTGATAGGATAACAAACCGGCTGCCATCATATAGGCCCAAGTCTTTTTTTATTTACCCAACAAACCACAACCAATTATCAGCATTCTCAGATTGTACCACAGCCCAAGCAACTGGATAGATTTGATTGTTTGCATCGTGACCAACTGCAGTCAATAGAACTCCCTTGACAGCAACTTTCAAGAATGTACCATCAAGGCCTATTATAGGTCTGCAAGTCCCAGCCCAGTGTCTTTTTAGTATGTTAAAACATACATAAAACCTATTGAACACATCTTCACCTTTCTCATTTGGATATGTATCAACAAAGGCAACAGAACCTGGGTTCTCAGAATGAATCTCTTCAACATATCCCCGGATATGAGCAACTTGTTCCTCATACTCCTTCTTAAGCATTTTCAGAGCAAGAAGTCTCCCTCTTTGACATTGTAGACACCATTTTCCAGCGTTCTTTGATGTACTGCTGAATATCCATAGGCATGAACTTCTCATTTAGCCTCAGCTTATCCAAGAACAACCTAGCAATAACAGGACTCTTCAATATCTCACATTTCCCATTAGGTGAGCATGTATGCGACGTACATGATGTTTTCACCACAAACAGTCGCTTGTCTGAAACATATGAACAGTATACCCTCCAGTTACATTTGCCACCCATCCCGCACTTGAATCCAATCGTTTCCTTCTCCCACCTATTCTGAACAACATTATGCATGTGCTTCAAGGTCACCTCTAAAATAGCTTCTTTGAACTCAACACTAGTGAAGAATGTACTTCCAACCACAAATTTATCACCCAATGCCATTCTGATTCTTCTATCCCTCAACACAATGGGGTCCTCGTCTTCATCTGAACTCTCTGGAATTATATCTCGACCAATTTCAACCTCATCTTCGAAATTGGCCACTCCGTCATCTACTTCAAAGGCAAAACGCTCAAGTGGATCTTCTTCATCTTTTTTCTTCTTCTCATTCTTCTCCTTCTTCTCCTTCTTCTCTTTCTTCTCCGTCTTCTTCTTCTTCTTCTTCTTCTTCTTCTTTTTCCTTCTCAGATTTTCTTCAATCTGCTCTTCACTCTCTGATTCAGTATTGTTCACCATACTCTCATCTGCATTCTCTGATTCAGAACCCCCATTGTACTCGACATCATCCCTATCACTACATTTGAAAAACATGTCGTCAGACATCTCTTTATCACTCTCAAAATCAACTAATCCAAACAAATCGTTACAACTCCGAACAAATTGATACAATTCCGAACAAATTCAAACAAATCCAACAATTATGGGGCGATGTTTGGTAAGAAAAACCCAAAAACTTACGACATTTTTGTGTGGAGAATGTCTTCGATAGTCTCAACCGGAGGAGTCTAACTCGAAGGAGTCTCAGTCGGAGGAGGCAATGTCAGAGGAGTCTTTGACGGTCTCAGTCGCTGTCGGAAGAAGCAGTCTTAGTCGGAGAAGAAGAAGTCTTCGCAGGTGTCGGGGTGGGTGGAGAAGAAAATCCCCAATTTGATTTTGTTAGGGTTTTAGGGAGAAAATCGAACCCTCTCTATCAATTAGAAGGTTCAATTCAGGTTATGAGATTTGGGTCGATTACCGGTTTGGTCAGAGAAAATCAATTTTAAAACGCGATTTAGCGATTTTAAAACGCATTTAGAGAGTTTAATTGATTGTGGGGAATTGGGTAGAATTTTATAAAAAAAGGTGGAATTATGAAGAATGTCATGTGTATAAGGGGAAATAGGAAGAAGATGAAAGTACATGGAGAACCGAATTGAAATACTATAGTACAGGGGGACAGGGGCAGACAGCCCTATATAAAATATATATAGTTGCGGAAAAGTACATAAAAATCATTAATCACTGAAGTAGATGATGCGTTCAGAAATATTGGACATGTCTAGCCTTTATATTTAAACGTATATGGGAATTTATGACCGACGCATATTT